TTCAAAATGGTCAATGTGACTTACTAGAGGTAAAATGCTACTGTAATTTAAATATTATTTCGAGTTCTGTTGGCTGACACTCGATAACCATATCAAAATCTGGGGACTACATGAGTACTGATTCATATTCGATTTTGATTTTGATTTTTACGAGGCACTTTTGTCAAAAAAATAATTTTTAGTGTTAGTAAAGAGCATAAAACTTGCAATTTTTAACTAAATATATTATTTTATTCCATAAAGTATACTCTAGTAACTAATCTTTAATATAAACATCGGAAGTTATCCAAATCTTTAAGCATCTTAGCAGGGCAAATGAAAATGCGTTTTTTCGCTCTCCTGTAAAATTTGCTCCGCTGCACTTACTAGGTTCTTAAATGGTTCAGCCGATAAGTTTGGAGAACGTAGGATAGAAAGACATGAATGAACCCTTTGCTGCAACAAGGGATCGACTTTCCCTCTTTGGGCACAGCATGTTGAAAAATGTTATTGCTTTACGACCTTATGTTAAGTAAGGTTCAAATTGTGGTGGCAATAATAATATATTCAACAGACAGAGCCCAATAAAGGGTTAAAGATTGGTACATCCACGGCTGAAATGTGCTGATGCTTCATCGCACCGTGTGCGCATACGCATATAACAGTTATTGACTTCTAAATTCATGTCAAAATAGAACTTGCTGATTGATACCTGCTGCCTACTTAGAAATTGCTGATTCCATAAACGTACCTAGTAAACTACTTACCTACAGTTTTTAATAGCCGAATAAGCTTTGAAAAAGTTAGTCCCACTGATTAGTATTCAGATGGCCACCCTACCGCCGGGACGCATGAATGGAATAGAATAGAATAGACGGGAATCTTTGTCTCCTAATAACACAAAAGAATAGTTCGCCTCCTGAATCAACGGATGTCTCTTTTCAATAAACTGACTGATTTCGAATTGATAGAAAATAGACGATTATTGGGTTTCGGTTCACAAGATAGGTACCAATAATTGATGCTTTACTGTCCATGGTGTAAATGTTTTCTTTATGGTTTTAAAACTTTGTTTTATCACCGTCATCCGCTTTGCACTAGAACGAACCTTGACTTTAGAACCTTAACTTCGAACTCCTCTTAAGTTCTTCTCTTCAATGAAATAAATTATTCTAACTCTTCAATGAAATAAATTCATTGCGGGTCCAAAGACAGTTTAACTTTCCCCCGGGACAAACTTGACCTTCACTGGTTGGGTTTTTATTGGCGGTCAAGCTCATGGCTACACAGGACTTCACAGGAGTTTCAGCGCAGCGTCGGGAACGACAGGTGGGAATTGTCCCGTAGCTTATTAGGTGTCGGTTCTGATACTACTTACATTGATAACGATTATGATTGCAAGGAGCTACTAATATTATTTTTCTTTTTATTGGCCAAGTAAGTACCTAGGTTACAAAATCCGAGTGAAGTCTGAATGACTGTCTGAGCCTTATTCATCTGTTCTCTGTAAAGAACTGCATGATTTCTTAAATTTATTCTTGACTGCATCTCACTTAACAACAGGTGTGATTGCGGTAAAATACCTGCCATGTTCTACATTTAAAAAAGGTTTATCTCCTTCATCTTCATCTTCGCCTGACTCTGTTATGCGGGGTCTTTCCCAATTATGCGCCGCCATATTTTCTTAAGATTTATGGTTAAAATGCGCTGAAAGTTACGAAACGGTGGTTAGTTTAGTGGCATTCTTAATCCGCCGATAACGCCGATTTGATGGCGGCCATAAACTGTTTCTTTTCCGTTCGCGCGGTTTTCGCTTTCCTTGTTTTGCAAATGACGTGGAAAAACGTGCTAGATAGTTGCCCTATGGTAAGTGTGCTTGTGAACAGGACTAAATCCAACTCTCACTTCAACAACTACTGGTCATTCCATTGTTCTTGCATGGAATGCAAATTGGTGTAGGTAATGGTATGGGCTCTATCAGCCCAATAATGTGGTCTTACAATCAAGTACAGAATAGATTATAACCCCTATCACAAATATTTTGATGTAAGGTAAACGGCTACTAGTTCGTGATAGTACGTAAGTTCGTAAGTTTTTTTTCTAGCTCAAATAATAAGCAAATGGAATATTATTTATAAAAATTCTTTATTACTATAAAAACTCTATTATTTAAGCTATCTAAAAAACCAAGTACCAACATTGTGGCGCCAAAAATGAGAGCAATACGAAGCTTCAAACTCTCAGAGAGCCAAAAACAGCCGTGCGGCGTGAAAATGTTGCTCTCACTGTAAGGTTAGCGCTCCAACTTCTTAAGCTTATAAAAAGGCGAAGAAACGTCCATTTGCATAAAACTTGTAATGGTGGTTTCATGAGTTCCTTGACAATTGATTTGGCTTAGAAAAAAGTTATATGAAAACGTAGAATTACTTTAAAATTGCGATTAATTGACTCACGAAATAGCGTACATATTATTTTTCGGGTGTCCCCTGTTTCGTGATACTACCGAATCAAGGATATTATGGATAATATTTTGATGCTTGGTTTTTAAATAATTATTTATGATAATTGAAATGTAAGTTATGAAATAAATAATACATTTATTTAAGTTTCTCATGATCTAAATTCGGTATATGTTTCGTTCACTAGAATTTATATGACACGGGTTTGAAGTTCACATAAATGACCAATTTTAAGATAAATTAGCATAAGTACTACCAGGGTAATTTTGGTTTTAATTCGATTCGTTTTATTTAACTTGGTTTATTTGTATTTTACATGGGATAGATAATAGTTAATTGACACAATTTGACAATAATCCATGAATTTTACTTGGGGAATTTGGAATAATCAGTATCACGAAACAAGGTACCGTAATTATTGTTACTTTTTCCCAAGTTCGTGATATATAAAAGTATAGTGTTAGGTACTTGTATGACACAAATAACATCAAAGAAATCGACATATTTTTTAGTTTTTAATACTTACCTACCTAAGTAATAAATTAATTAATTTTTATGATGAGCCATTGGCGTATATGGGGTTATTTTCAGGGGGGGGACTACCCTCACTTGAAGCAGCTCCAGAGGTGGGGGGTTAGTGCCCCCCCCCACATTTTTTAAATTTAGACTTGTATGAATATTTTCACATATCGTTAGAAATAAAATATCTAAATTTTATGGGTACGAAGGGGAGGGGGGGAGGGGGGGTATGCCCTAGGTTTAGGTGTATTAGGTGTTTAGAATAAAATTCCTTTCGCAAAATAAAGCGGTAGCGAAGTAAAAACTCTTTTGATAAGTATTCCAACATCTTTTTTTTGAGAATGAGGCCATTAATTTAAAAAAAATGCGGACACGCTAAACAAACTCATGTTGTCAAAACGTTAGCATTCCCACGAGCAAGTCGTTAGAGGAAGGTCGCATTATATCTGTTACGGCTAAAGATAGGTGTGAACATAAACTTAAGATTAGCCGGCTAAACTTAAGTTTATCTTCGACGAGGTGTTAATGTTAGTTTCTTCTATCTTTAGCCGGCTAAACTTAAGTGTAACCGCAGGCCCTTGGATAAAAATGTAGAAGGAAATCGAAAAGGAATCAATGTAATAATGTTTACTATTTTGAAACGAAAACTTTATTATAAAATAATCACTTTCATTACACATACTTTTATGTACCTATGTAGGTATTCAAAATTACAATTATTACAATAACAAAATATTAATTACTCAAAACAAAATCTACCTAATAATTAAAATAAAATAATAAGGAACCATTTGGTCGTTACAGAATCTTCTGTAGGTATTTAAAATTACAAAATGCGCGTTGTCTCCCCTCCGCCCCCTCAAGCCCTCCGCTGGTCTGGCGCGCCCATCGAATACATTTTTAGCCGTTTCGTTTTGGCTAATGTGCACATTAGCCGGCTAAAGATGGAATATCACGACGCAACTAACATGTTATCGAACTTTAGCCGCTTCTCGAAGATAAACTTAAGTTTAGCCGGGTAATCTTAAGTTTATGTTCACACCTATCTTTAGCCGTAACATATCTATTCTGTGCGGAAACAAACGCTCGCCAACATTCGTTTGGGATTCGGGAGCGACGACCGACTACCGAAATAAATAAAAAGTAAATATAGGCGAAGGATAAACATCAACAAATGTACTGATATTTAAATAAGGCCTTATTTATCGTATTTTCTTTGGAATTTCTAATTAGCTGATTTGCTTTGGAATTTCAGTTCACAGACTATTTGTGTCTGATCACTTTAAAAAGCGGGAAGCTTCTCGGGATAATTAAGCTACATTAAGTTAATTATAAGAAAGAACTTTTTCCTTCGCAAAAGTTCTGGGAACTAGGCCACTGAAACGTCTTTATTTAAATCAATCAATAACACTAACCGGGCCCAATTACGGGAAATCGTCTTCGAAGTAACATTAAATATTGGATTTGCAAATTGCTACCGGTGACTATTCATAGAAGCGGATCGATTCAATTTCATCGATTAGTTCTGATTCGGCACGCGGCTTGAATCGATTCGAGACCGATTCATAATGCGGTTGCTCACGGCAATTGTACGTTACTTACATATTTTATTTGGAATGTCACGGTTGAAAAATGCTCAATGTCATGGTCTTCTATCTAATAATGGAAGTCGTGGTAATCCTCAGATATTTTTAAAACGTAAACTTTACGTTGTTTATCTGGAAATAACGACTGTTCGAAGAAGTCTTTATTTTAGGAACGACAACGAGCACGTGATGTATCAAAATAGAAAGTCGAAGTTGTAGGTAAATGCCTAGGTCGTTGTTAATGACAGCTCAATCCCTACGGGACTTTTGTAAAATAAGCCTTTAATATTCCCTTTTTAAGTAGGTAAGGCGGTCTCTTCTCGAATTGTCTTCATTTCAGTCGTACCTATAAATAACTTGGCGTTAATCATTAATTGTTTAAGTTAAGTAACTACCTATGGTAATTTTGAAGTTAACTTATTATTGTATGCTAACGCTATTTTATCTTTGTCCACAGTAAAACAAAATGCATATTGAAGTGCAAGTCGCCCTCAACTTCGTCATATCCTACCTATACAACAAGCTGCCGAGGCGGCGGGTCAACATATTCGGTGAGGAGCTGGAGAAGGCGCTGAAGGACAAGTTCCGGGGTCACTGGTACCCCGACCGGCCGTGTCGGGGGTCTGCCTTTCGGTGCCTGAAGACTGGGGGCCCGTTGGACCCCGTCCTTGAGAGGGCAGCGCGGGAGTCAGGAGTTCCCGTCAGGGATGTGCTGGAACACCTTCCTAGGGATCTCGCCGTCTGGGTTGATCCAGGTAAATATTCTGATTATCATTGTTCTATTAAAAACTTAGTGTAAACCACATTTTATAGATTTTCACATCCTCTTCACATTCGGTCGTCTCCTATCGCATGAGTTGGCTGAGTCATGGTTGAAAATCTGCTTGAAACGACTTAGGTCCGATTCAACCAAACTTTTATCCGAGAATAACTCCTGGTATAACTGGCACATTGACAGTATCAATAGGGAAATATGTCCAAATGTCGAATAAGTAATTGACGATTTATTCTGATATTAATATTAACTCTTGTTTGGTCGAATCCACCCTTAGAAAGATAGGCTAGCGTATGAATCTACGAGTATTTAAGTTTATTTACATTTAGGTTGGGATTAGCTTGCACATTTTAAGTTGATAGAAGGTACTTACCTACCTAAGATGTTGTTATTTCGAGAAAATCTTAATGCACCAAGAAAGATAAATGGCGACTATAAATAAACCTTCATGATACCTAAGTGGATTAAAGACTTCCTCAGATAATGACGAATGATTGACATGTAATCCAACAACAAAGGTGTAATCTGAATGCGACTAAATACACGTAATAGCACAAATAAAGACACCGTTCGAACAATCAGTTACGTAAGAAAACCCTGTTATAATAACCACAAACCATTTTTCATGAGCATGCTAACTAAAAAGTTACACAATTAAATATGAAGTGTCTGTAATAATACGTAAGTGATACTTTAACGTGTAGTAGCAAATGGACGAGGCCAGACAAACAAGACAAGGACAATAACAAATTATGGCTAGGTCTGAGCAGAGGTTCCCAACAATGAGAATACACATTCAATGGTTTAATAATCTTTAACTATGAGATGGCAAAGTTATACTATGTACTTTATCTACTACACGAGATCACGATATCTTCAAGTCTTAAGTTATCTGATATGACTCGAAAGATAGCTTCAAGTTTATGTTAGTTATCATTCAATGTTACCAGTAACTTTATAGATATTGCGTTATCGTCAATGTAAAAACTACTCTGTTTAATACCCCCCTTTGAAAAGGGGAACGCGGATCAAAAGGTTGAGAAACACATTTGTAAACCATCTCCCGCTTGCAACCAGTACCGATTGTAATCCATTGATGTAGCAAACTAGATCAATTCAGTATTTGCCAAGTCGCTAAGTGCTCTCGCTACGACGCAAAATCTATTTTGCGTGGCAGCGGATGCAAAAAGATTTCAAAGTAAAACGTGAGAGTGCATGCATTATAAACTTTTGATAAAAACGGGAATTTGATTGGTTTATGAATATGGATCCAACGCTGAACTGGGTCGATTATTCAATTTCCTCGTGAACACCATTTTCTCCCGTGAATTATTGTGATTAGGAGGGGAGGTTTAACCTAGTTTTGATGTAATTTTGACCATGTTAATTAACCTATTTTGTTTCTTTCATTACAGGTGAAGTTTCATACCGCATCGGGGAGAAAGGGGCGGTGAAAGTGCTGTTCAGTAGCGACGAGCGAGCTGCTGATGAGCGAACTGATAGAGAGGTAAGAATCGAAGTCTAAAAAGCTGTGAAACTATTGGCAAAAATACACTACACATAAGTGCTAAATGGCAAAGTTGACCCTCTGATTAATTTTGAAGATCATAATATCTGTCATCTCCGTGTTGGTGAAGCAAAAGGTGGACTCGCATGGTATTTTAGCGCTTGCTTCAGTGAAATGTGATTCTACTCGAAACTGATTTAGCCAAACGCACTTGATTGATGTTAACAGCCTAGTGCCGTTGTAATTTATAGCACAAATAAATCAAAGCAACAAATCAAGTAATAAGGACTTAGCTTTGAGTCTGGCAGCTTAATGGACTGATCATTGTCAGGCAGATGTGGATGAATTTGCTGGCTAGATTTTTATTATGGACAAGACAAATCTGCTACATCAGGCCCGCAGCTGCTTGGTAATTGTAGATTGTTTGCTTTGTTGAAACATTAATTGCGTCAAGCTCAAATAATGGCCGATTAATTACTCGCGGGTGATGATTTTGGCAAGTGCACCGTACATACTGACGATGAGAAATACCCTGACGCGATTGTAACCATTTGGATACAGACTTTGTGGCAGGAATAAGTAAATAAATAGGATGACCTCTGAAGCCATTGGTAGAGTGCCAGCTATACAGCAGTTGAGGGTTCAGATATCAATCGCGTGCGTAGATGACGGTTCCACCTTTTGATGACATAATGAAAAATAGTGAATATGATGAGTTTTTGAGAGATCACCAAATTATGTTGCTCTGTGGTTTAATCGTTGGTCCTTCGTATTTTTTCTGGGCATCTTATCTGTCCACTTGGGCTGCAGACTGCAACCACAGGCGATACTGGGGCTGGAGGCTGCGGCCAACCGCAGTCATCTAGTAGATGTTCAAAAAACCGTGGTGGCTTGCAGTTTGCGTTCTGCAGTCCATCTTGGACTTGTACCTTTACGCTACTTCCACCGCTCCTGTAGGCTAGAATATACCTACAGTATGATCGATCACCAGTTTTAATCAACGTTTATAATCGATCACCAGTTTTGATCCTTGAATTGACAGTTTCTGTTATCCCTTCCAGGTGACTCGCGCTTTCAACCCCGAGGCGCAGTGCTTCCGGCCGGTGGAGCCTGCGGCGGCGCCGTCGCCGCCCGCGCCCGCCGCCTTCTCCCCCGCGCCGCCGTTCCGCGCGCAGCCGCTCACCTTCACCACCGCGACCTTCGCGCAGACCAAGTTCGGCAGCACCAAGCTCAAAACGAGCAGCAAGCGCGCCAACCGCATGTCGCCCACGGAGTTCAGCAACTACATCAAGCAGCGCGCGGTGCAGCAGCAGCTGGCGGCGCGCGCGCTGTCGCCGGCCGCCGACCCCGCGGCGTACTTCGTGGCGCGGCGCGAGCCCGCCCCCGCCCCCGCGGCCCCCTACCCCCCTGCGCCCGCGCACCTCCTCCTCGCCAACTGAACGCACGCGCGCCGCACGGCCCGCGCGACCCGCTCATAGAGTCTTTACTTTTTTACGAGAGAGGCGCGCGCCGCGATTTATTTTTTTATTTTCCGCGGGGGCGTCCCGCGCCGCCCGCCGCTTGTGATATCCGTACGATTTTCCATAACTTTTTGTATTCTCGTTCGTTACGTCGATGTGTAAATTTATCGATAGGAGCAATAATCGGCCGCGCGACTCGCCGGCGATTTATTTTCGTAATATTTAATGCCGAGTCAAGTTTTTGATGTCTTCGTTCGATATCGATATATTCGTAGGGTGTAAGGGAGCGAAAGGCCTTTGGCCGCGTGCGCTTACGACGACGTACCTTCTAGAGCGAGCCTGTATACATACGTCCTCCGATCTAAGAATTACTGATATATAAATATGTATACATAATATATATATATTCGTACGCGATAATTGTCTAATTTTTCACGTGGATACGAAAAAGCCAATAGAGAAATTACGTATTTTTAATATTGAAATTGATAATTCATACTTACTAATAGTGTACTCTGAATGTATCGTACTCTAATAAACGTTTGCATATCCGTGGACGCGGCCGGTGGGCGCGGCCGCCGAGGCGTCGGAGTTCTCACCTAGCGTAATCATCACTCGTACGATTGTACCCTTGTAATAATTATTACAATATACATAATATAATAGATTTAGCTACGTTTCAATCTAACAGTATTTTTTTAAGAAGATATTAGTCCTCGTGTACATTACCGGTCGACCGCACCGCGGTGGCCGGTCTTAGTCTTATGGTATACTTATATTATAATATTGTTAAAAGACATGAATAAATGATAGAAAAAAAATATTTCTCAATTCGTTAATATAACGGGTGCATGCAAATTCATGGAAAAAATACTATGTGTTATTTATCTTTTTTATATTTCACTTGGCATTGGCTCAGTTTTTCAATGGGGCCGTAGCGTAAGTGCGAGTAGTGGGTAGTCGTAGAGTAGTCGCTCGGCATTGGTTGTTTCAAGTACCTACTAACTCTCCAATTCGGTGCACAACGTTGACAAGTTGTATACCTGTATTGAAATGTGCAAATATTTTTACTATTTTTATATTTTGATTTAGATTAAGTCTAGTTGTATGATTTGAATACCTTAACGTGTACTTTATTGTTACCCTATAATTATTAAATTATTATCTAATGTGTATATTGAGGTATCTCGATTGAAAAACTGACCATAAGGCTACAGTATTTTGTAGATAAAATCTATAAATGTAAGTTTAATAATAATACAACTTAGTGTAATGAGATTTTTTATTATAAAGATACTTTTTATTTTTCTTTCTTTTGTAAGATATATTCGATGGAAATGTTAAAATAATATAATAATATTTGCATAATATAGTAAAAGCGGCTCTCCATGTCCGCATATAATTAGTCAATAATAATTTTTCATATTGTTGTACGACTTTTTAAGTTTATATTAAAATGTTTTGTGCAATCTAATGTGTGTGTTTATTCGAAATCCCGTATTTATTACAGAAATAAAAATAAAAAATGAAAACCCCAAACGCAAAAAAGAAAACAACATTCTTAACAACATTTAAAGGCCCAAAAGATAAGGAGACATGTAAAGTGCCCCATAACCATAAGGGCTACCTTTTTCTTTTTTTATTATTTTCTATTGACGTTCATAAGTGCCACTTGTGGTATAAACTGAATAAAAAAAAAAGAGCATAAAATAAGGTTTATAGATGACCCACGCTGAACTGTCCCACCAAACTCAATGACAGGGGGGCGCTACCATCGTTCAACTATTTGGTTTCCAACATGGCAAAAATCTGAACCAGCGATCCGGTATTGACGGTGGCGCCCCACTGTCAATGTCATCGATAGGACAGTCCAGTATTTTGGAACTATACTTCGGGGTACCGCTGAAAGAAGTCAGACCCTTCATTATTCAGATGTTTAATACTATAAATATACAAAACTTATTATCTCAAATAATGTGGTGGAAAAATCAAAGACAAGAAATCATAATGGTTTTTTCCACTTTGCTCACCAAGGCGCCCTACTGGTCGGGCAAACTGGATGCGTCTAACAACGCACTGTTATAGGTGTTTGCCAACCTTGATTTTTAGTTTCTCAAAAATCCCGCTATATTATTCGCTCACTGAACTTGACGAAGGCGTTAACGTGAATTCTAAATTCATAGTATTTTGGTTAATTACTAATTTTATTTACGAAGGGCATATGACGCTATTAACCAATAATTCAAATTTCCAAGTCATTTCGTTTTCTGTTAACTGCAAAATTAATTCAATTTTTATAAGTGCATAAGTTGATATTATAGCATATCTAGCTAAGTATATCTTTTGAGAAATCACTATTTGATAACTCATGAAAGGAACGTGCATTGATTGGTGGTGCAAGTACCTACCCAAGTATAAGCTTAGATAAAGGGAAATTAATTAGAATAAAAGACAAAAGTTAATAATTAAGTCACTTTATTTATCAAACCACAAGATGACAAAATTAAACCTCATCTATGGACATTTTCCGTAATAATAGAACACATTAGTCCGAAACTTCACACGGAACCAATACAAAAATTACAAATAATATGTGTAATTTCAAACTTTTCTCTAGATATAACAATATTTCTAGAACAATCTGATAAATGATTTCTTAAAAGTGTACTGCGAAATTTGATTTGGAATTGACAATATTTATGATTTTAAAAAATTTAAATCTAACGGCTTCGCCAAATATCAAGACTACATTCGTAGCATAATTTTTAAACTATTCGTGAATTAAAATCGATGAGCAGGCATTTATTTATATCCATGTACGTCATATTACAAGAACTGATTTTGAACCTTACACTAAACACATAAAATTCAAAATCCATTAAGAAAATCTGTTGGCGACCGTAGAATATTCCGTATTATAACTTATTAAATGCATCGTAGTATTAAAGCAATCAAGTATTTTCGTAAACAATTTACATCTTTAGAGGAACATCTTTATAAATACGTCTTTTTATACTTACATTAATATACTTCTATGGAGTCAAAACAAACAAGCTATTTTGGCACTGGTCATGGATAGATACAGTTGAATGTGCGTTTTATAAACAGCATGCAGATAGTAAAATAAACTAATATTCAGAATGTGAGTGCAAAAATAATCACAAGTACTTGAATATTTAGGCCAATGCTTATCATCCATATTTAAAAATCATACCACGGTATGTTGTTAGTATACAATTCATCATCTCACCATAGATGAGGAGACATGCCCTAAGTGGTTATTTACTTTGTATAAAATATACACTTGTAATTACTAAAAATAATCAGTACATTTTAAAAACTTAAACGACCGTTCCATTTTCAATCCAAGTCAATATTCTAGTCTAACCCCTAAATTACATTGACGTTATAGAAAAAATATTTACATTTAAAAACTAAAAGTATCATCATTTAAAAATTAAATATTTATTCACCAAGATCGATTAGATCTCACAAAAATAGATTTTAGAAAATTACATGTAAAACGAACCTTAATTAAATTCTAACACACTGGTTATTGACTGATTTTGGTGACTACGTTTCAAAATTTTGGCCCAAGATTCCAATAAAAAACATTTAAGATTTTGCCGATTGTTAATAAACATAATTGCAAAATTAATAATTATAAGTACTACATACAATCATAGAAGAAAAGTAATGCATGCTTCATAAACTACTAACGATCCAAATCCCAAGTCTTCGTATTCACAATACAATAAATAACACAATAGAGTGAGCAGAGACTTAACACGACAAGAATAATAAGAAAGAGAAATAAGAATCCCTATATTAATTAATTTATTATTACGAAAACCAACAATAGTCAAGGAATGACATCTCAATAACTTAGCAATATCATCACACATACGACAGTGTCCGATCCAAAGATCAATTTACAATGAATATAATTCACTTGTCTCTGGACGCCTACACTAATGCGACGCGAAGTAAACTCGTGAAACTAACAAAGCTCTGCTTTATCATTTCCAGAATGTTTACCAATCATGAGAGACCGCTCAATGAGCCATCTCGATGTGTCGCTGCAGACTCTTCTTGTTCATGTAGAAACGGTCACACATGGCACAGGGGAAGTACACCTTCTCGTTGTCCGCGTGCCTCGCACGAGTGTGAGAAGACAGGTCGAGGGCTCGGGCGAAGTAGACTTTGCAGATGTTGCAGACGAATTTGGTGGGCGTCGCGTGCATCGTGCGGTGCGCGATCAAGTCTCGCGGGGTGGCCACGCCGTCGCCGCACTGGCCGCAAGTGAACTCGCCCGGCTGCGACACCGGCACGCTACCGTCGTCATCCGACTCCCCCGAATCTTCCCCGTGGTGCCTCGTCAGGTGGGCCTTCAACGCCTTCTCGCTGTCAAACTGAGCTCCGCATAAATCACACGCGTGATTCTCCTCCTCTTCTTGAACCGCCCCGGACGAGCTACCCTCGCCGCCTTCGTAATGCTTCTTCATATGAACCAGCAAAGTCGACTTCCGCGTGAAACTCTTCTCACAGACGGGACAGAACACCGAGTTGGGTTGATGCACCTCATCCATGTGGCGAAGGTACGCGGCGCGCTTCGTGAACTCTTTGTCGCATATCGTGCAGTATCTGTCTTCGACGCCGCCGGACATGTTCTGATCCATTTCTACGGAGTCATCCGACCGCAACTTTTTGTTTGGGTTTACGACCGTCACTTCGACCTCCGGTGGTAACCTTCGCTTGGCGGCGACGGCGGCGGCGGGCGACGAGTGCGACACGCGGGCGAGTTGGACCGGATCGACGACCTCGTGTTTGCTGACCTTGCTGGTCACTTTGTGCTGAGGCATCCAAAGCCCGGTGTTGTTGGCGGCCGCTTTGCCGTCCGGCGAACGCAGATGCCAGCCTCGGTGGCTCTTGAGCGCCGCGATCGATGTGTAACTCTTATGACAGATTTCGCAGTCGAAGGTTTGCGGTTGGGAAGGGACCTGATTGATACACTGGTGGTTTTGTAACGCAAGCATTCCCACGAACTGTTTGCCGCATGTGTCGCAAGGATATCTAGCTTGATATTCTACACTCGGGTCCGCCGAGTCTTGATCATTTTCGTAATCTGCATCTAATTCTTGCTCGTTATCCTGCATCTTGCTATTATTGCCTTGGTTCGCATTATAGCCTAATAGTTCGCGTGCGTGAGCAGCTTTGAGATGTTCATACAGCTCCAATGTCGAATTCAGTGGCTTGCCGCAGATCTTACACATCTGGGATGACGATTTGTGAACATTCTTCCTGTGACGGTAGTATGACTTCTTATCTGAAAAGGTAATTTTACAAATCGTGCAACTAGATCTGCTACCAGCTTCGCTTGGCTGCTGGTTATCAGATCCAGATATTCCATGTTTGGCTCGCTTGTGCTTCCACAAACTGGTTCGAAGAGGAAACCGTTTGAAACAAAGTTCACACGAGAATGGCAGCAGATCTTGACCCTGAGGCGTCGATTGTTGAACGTTATTGGCAAAGTTCGTGAAGTTGAAACTATTAAACTGTGGCGTCGACAGAATGGCTCCACTTTCATCTGCATTATATTCATCGTCTTCTGTGGACGCTTGCATGGTATTTTCTTCACTGTCATTCCTATCGTTGATGAGGTCAGCGTGAAGCACTTTCTTGTGTTTCCAAATGTTCTTCTTGTGCATAAATCCTTTGCCGCATATATCACAACAGTAAGGAGCATTAGGAACATTGCAATTTGGTTTGAAGGCTACAAAACCAGGTTGTACGGCAGTAAACGATTTGATTGGTTTGCCAATGATTTGTGGAGCAAAACCCTTTGGTTCTCCGGGTTTTCTATTGGTCGTGGGCACTTTAGCATGAATGCGCATGTGATTAGAATATGCTTGACGACTTTTGAATGATCGTATGCATATGTCACAATAGAACTCTGAATCCATCGTCGGGAATGACCCAGCGCCTGGGTGAGCTTGTTGAACGTGTTCTGAAAGTTTTTGTGGAGTACTGTAGGAATTTGTACAAACGCTGCAAGGATAAAATTTGACACGCAGATGGGTGTTCTTATGCTCGGCGAGCTCAGATGGACGTAAGAACTTCTTGTCACACTGGTCGCAATGATGAGCGACTTGATTATGTTCAGCGACCTGGTGATCCGTCCAAGCGTCAACGGTTTCGAATATGGCATTACACTCAGTACACGAATAATGATATTCCTCAGCTTCTTCCTTGACCAAGGACATATCAGGTTCGGTGCTTTGCATACCCAAGGTCCTATCAGAATGCTCAGTGTAAATATGTTTGTTAAGATCAGTAGCTTGTTCAAATTTGCCATCACAGTGTTGACAATAATGTGGTTTATCCTCGTTGTGAACCATCTTTAAATGTTTTATCAAATTTGGATAGCTACTATTCTTTTTTCCACAAAGCGAACAATCTGTGGGTCGTCCATCAACACACTTATTTTGACTATCAGAGTCAAAGCTTCCGGCATGAACGGCCAAAGCGTGATCATTGAAATCTTGCATATTGACAAACTTTTCAGAACACAAATCACATGATATTATGACTGTGCATTCACCGTTACGGATATGTTTTTTGATAAGACTTTTATCTTTGAATCGTGCTCTACAATGAACGCAGTGGAGGGGCACCCTAGACTGGCCATCTTCATGAACATCCAAAACATGTTTCATTATGAACTGCTTTAATTGGAACTTGGCTGGACATAATTTGCAAGCATAAGATCTTGCGTTAAAGATGTCCTTATACTGGACTTTATTATCCTTTGGCTCTTCCAATACTAGGTCGTCAGTTATTCCATTTTCGTTGTAGATTATTTTCCATAAATCTGTGCAACTGTTGGACCTCATGTGGCTGAGCAGGGCGCCAATGTGTCCGAAGGTTATAACACAGTTGTAGCAGGTGTGTTTAGGAACTTTGTGTCCATTCTTTTGCAAATGTTGGATGACCGCCTTTCTCCGGGGATGCTCACGATCACAACATAGACACCGTTTTGTATTGATTTGTTGGATGATGTCGCGATATTTGAGAATGAAATCTCTTTGTGTTTTAGTGACGTACAACTTGTCAGGATCCAGTTCTTTGACGCCTTCTTCTGCTGTGTCATTTAGATCAGCAGATTCTTCAAGTTCCTCCTCCTCCTCCTCATTAACTTCACTGTTGTAGGAATTTGTTTGCATATCCTCATTTATTTCTACTTCTGGTGCTATTTCCATCGGAGGGAGATCATCGTCATCTTCATCCCTAATCTCATCGTGATTCATTTCATGATCATTATCACCGTCCTCGATTCCATCTTCTTTTTCTTGATTTTCCTCTGCAGCTTGGAGGTCACTTTCATCGATGCCGATATGCTCTTCACTGTGTTCTGGTTCATTTTCTTCTGCTGGATCTTTCTCGTTTTCACTATTTTGCTCATAGTGATTAATTTCTTCATCATTTTGGTTATGTTCTTCTCCATCTTCGGCATTATTATCATCGTCTTCACCTTCAACTTCTCCTTCATTCTCCTGCTCACGCGCTATCTCTATTTCGTTGTCCGATTCCATGTCGACCGTGTCATAGTTTTGACCTTGGTTGTTAGTCATGTCGCCGTCCATTTCTTCATCACCATCACCCTGGTGGTCGAATCCATCCGGCTCTGACAAAATGGTTTCCACTTGGAAAGATGCAATTTCTGGTTCGGAAATCAACGTTTCGGGACTTTCTGGGCCCGAGTTAACAATTTCAGGTTCGGACACGAGAACTTCTGGTTTGGACGTTAGGAGGGTCTTCAAAATTTGCGGTTCCTTTTTCTTTATTTGCAAATCTTTAAGCGCTTTGATGCGCAGAGGATACGGCAGATTATTTTGAGCTCCTTTAGGCGTTTTAATAAGTATCGGTTTCGGTGGAGTGATAACTTTGTGTGGTGCTACTTTCGAAGGCATCGGTTGTTTGAGGAGTTGCATTTTGTGGCTGATGGGGTTTGGCATGAGGCGGGCTTTGGGGTTGAACGGGTTTGGTCTTAGTTTCGGTTGCATGTGGGAGGGTTGTTTTTTGTTGACGACTTTGTTGGTGTACCTATCGAAGCTGTGTGACGTGAGTTCGTGACGGCGCGCGTTGTGGGAGTACCTGTATGAGCGGCCGCAGACGAGGCAGTCCTTGGAGGCGAGCTGCTGGATGCCTTGCCTTGCATGCAGGGTCTCGCCGGTGGGCCGCATTACCGTGATGGATACCTCAGGCATGTTGGGCACTTTGGTATACTTCTGTGGAGGTTCCCTCATCTCCTCCTCGTCGTCTTCCTCTTCTTCCTCTTTATCACTCTCGATACCCTGGAAATTTAGATCAATGGGATATTTAAAATGGGAGGAAAATAATTAAATAGCGCGGGATGGGTGAAATAAAATTAAAAATTATATTTAATAATGTATATTATGAGAACTAAAATATAGTTATGAGAAAAGTTATACTCCACTTTACATACATCTAAAATTGCTTATTAAATTATATCTGGTTATTTATTTAAATTTTAACTAACAGTGAACCTTTAATATGAGAGTTTAGTATTTTGAGAAATAAAAAATACTAACTTTCATAATATCCAAAATAATCTAACAGAATGTAAATATTTTTACAACAATTTTAACAATAATATAGTTTAATAGAAATAATAAATGTTAGCTCTATTCTATGTATCAATAAAAAAAAATGTAAATAAATCCAACACTTTCAATATCTACTTAGAAATTAAAATATTTGTGTAAGTAAATGTGACACTTCAGTAGTTTACTAATTTATTACAACAAAAATAAAAAATACTTCACTAGGAAGAAACACTTCTTTAAGTAACAATTAATTTTACTTCTAAGATAAATAAGTACAAAATCGCTTATGATCCAGAACACATAGTGCAGAAGTTAACTGTGTGCTCTTTACAGATGAACTGGCCACACTTCAGACAAAACTGCTTTGTTCTTCTGTCTCTCTTTGTGGTTTTCACGCAAATCCGGCACCTTCTTCGGTTTTTATACGGTATATCTTTCAATAAAGTAAACTTCTCACGCATTCGTGAAACGTCAGTCATACAAACATCTGCTACAAACGAATCCTCACATTCTAGGAGACTAAAAGCCAGTTCATTGATGAAGTTACGACGTTTTGTCACTTGGTGCATATTCTGCGAACACCATATAACTTGAGCATTAACGGCAGCAATATTTAGAAGAGTAAAGAATAACGAAAGAGTCCAATCATTGGTGTGCTGCATAGTGGTGTAGTAGTGCATCAGCACATCTATAACTTCCACAGCAGATTGGTTCTTCCTATACGAAGCAGCAGCTGTGTTGAAATTTTTATGTCCCCTCTTATAAAACTTTGGCTCATTCGTCAACACATTCAACGACTTTTTCTTAGAATTCATATAAGACGTCAGTGCGATATCATTGTCAAGAAATCCAGTCAAAAACGTCTTACATTTTCTGTATTGCGAAACAAAGAGCGGCGGTATGATATCATCATTAGGATGGGTGGCCGCAATCGAATACAACTGATATTCCTTCTTGAGTTTATCAATCAAATCCAATGATGAGTACCAGCTGTCCATTATTATAGTTCGGCCCGATCCAGCCAAATGTTGAACCATTTTATTCACAATCGCATCAGCACCAAAATAGTGATCGGTAATTACATCCAAATTGCCGATATAAAAACTCGCCGAATCCACCAAAAGAACCATTTTCAAGCCGCGTTTTAGCGGTTTCTTATCAATGTTGTACCGAAATGGACAAGGCCCATAAACTGGGACAATGACCTCATCAATGACAACCAAGTTATCAACTTCATAAGCAGTTCTGCAGTTCATTGCAAATATTTCGAACACCTTACGCATTCTTTTCATGATATCAAATTGTATTATGCTGTCATCATCGTCTTTGTCGAAGCTCATGTTCTGTATAAGGAACTTGAATCGTTCATACTTCATTGCACTTCTGACACATGGAATTCCACAGTCCTTGTTCCAAAGGTCACGGGTACTTTGATGTGTTGGTCGCATAATGCCATGGAGATAAAAAATTCCAATGAGTGTTCTAATTTCCCCAGGGTTAGTGGAAGTTGATACATCATTTCCAGCTTTGAGAATGTTATCATTTGTAGATGCAACAATTAATTCAAGCAAGTCGTCTGTAAAGAGCATTTGCCATGCCTTTTTAGGTAGTGCACATAATTTGTTTGTTCCTATCTTGTGCTTTCTCAATCTTGCGGCTTCTTTTATTTTTGCATTAATCAGTGATGTAGACAGTTTTGGATTTTTTGATAGGACCGTCCTGTTTTTGCACATGTATCCAGTTTTACAATCAATGTATTCGTCATCTATATCCATTTGAAGCTCGGCCTCCGAGTCAGAGTTGTGATCGGACTCTTGCACATAGTCACACTCTTCAATTGACTGGAGTGAATCAATGACATCATCGTCTTGCACCATGTCCAATATTGCATGGACTCGTTGCCAGTCCATGCGAGGGTCTACATTTTTCTGTGGATGAAATTAATTCATTGAACTATTCTCACACAGATATTCTCTAATAAAAAAATATGTTTTACTTATAATTTAGTAAACAACTGAAGTGTCATAAAGTATAAAATTTAATGAAATTGAATTAACGTATCAGTTCTATGCAATTGTTTCGCTCAAAATGTTTATTTAGTGAGTGATAAGACTGCCAATGGACATGTAATCTTTACCTTATCACTTCGTGGAGTGAGCCCCAATGACGCCAAGATAGGTGGACCTTCTGGCTGCACCTTACTGGAACCTGCTGCATTCTGAAATTTCATTAACATAATTTTAGTTTGCAATAAAATAATTTTACTACCACTAAGTTCTTTATAAGTTTTCAGTACATGTTTATTGCATACTAGCTGACCCGGCAAACTTCGTACCGCCTTAGCGTACAGATTTTCTTAATATTTTTTCCGTAAGAACCATCCTTGGACTTCCACAAACATTTAAAAAAAAGAATTATCGAAATCGGTTCAGCCGTTCACACGTGATGCCGTGACAACGCGAAACGGGTTTCATTTTTATATATATAGATATTTTAACTCCCACATTTTAAATATAAACAACTGTCTTTAACGTCCTATGCCATTCAAAAGTACGGGCATAAACCATCTGGATCTATCATCGTTCGCAAATGCATTTCCAAACTTACAAATTGTAAATTAAGCACGGCAGTTACTACGTTTAAGAGCCACATTTGAAATTAAATTAATTAAAAGTAAAAATACTATTAAAAAAGAAATATGAAGCTGGCCATGAATTCTTTTTGGAAAAAATTAAAATATCCACTATATCAAGGGTCATCAAGGGCATTTAAGTTAAATAACCAAAAACTGTACAATTTTTTTATTTAAACTATTGTCATTACTAAAAAGTATGTCTTAGTTTTTTTCAGTGTGTAGTTAGATCGTTGAAAACTAATATGAATTGCTTTATTAAAACCAATAACTTATCTATATTATCAATGAAAAAGTCCTTTGAAGAAAGCAGAACAAAAACATTGCACAAATTCCTTACAACTGTGACGTGACTACAGTACAATGTCCTTGACATGAAAATGCTAGCACAGATGCTTTGCTGAAAGTACCTACTTTAAGACAGACATTAACTTCTCATGATCATTATGATTATTCTTTTTTTAACCTTTGTACACTACACTCATCATCAAGAATAGTTGAGTTGATAAGATAACACTTAAAACAGGATAACACTCACCTCATTGTCAGGGTATGACCCATCAATGACCACTCCATCATCATAAGCCTCATCAGCAGGTTCACTCTTTATTTTTATCTGGAAATCCATTTATAATATTAACAAACAAGTCACATTCTAAATAACAAGTGACAAATCCAAGCATGAATGTCTGGAACATACCTCTTCTAGTTGGCTGCCATCCTTTTTTATCAGCAACTCTAATTTGTTTTGTGTCCTTTCACATACTGTCTTGAAAATATGCCAGTTATTGACATTATCCACACATTTCCTGCAGACATTCGTCGGCAGGTCGTCATTCTCGCTTATCTGGAAAAATAATCATACGCAATCATTGTAAGGGGCTTCCTATTCGCGCGCATTTCATCAGAGCGAGCGAGGCGAAACCGCGCTTCATGAGTACATAGATACGCGAGGAGAAACTAAGTAGGTAGGCGTAGGTATAGCCGGGCGGCTGACTCCTCGACCGAATAAGTAGAAGCGAGTCGAGTGCCAGCCAGCGAGCCCCTCGAGGGTTACCGCTCGATATACACACACAGCTATAGCGAACTCACGCCGACACCGACGCTCGACCCGTTCGAGAGACGAGCTGCACCGGCCTGGTCTCGTCCGATAAATCAATACACGAGATGGCCAACGCGAGGCCTCGTAACGACACGCAGACCCCCTCCCGACCTGACCCCCGGGAATAATGCCAAACTCGACCCTCATGATACGCGCCATTCCTCGCCGGCTGCACGGAATGTGACGCGACGCGGCCACGAGTCGAGCGATAGCCGAGGAACATTACAAAATGGTGGACGATCTTACGACATCTCCACCTAAACGCAGCGCTGCCTGACATTGCACGAACCGGGGCGGATGACGAGTTCTCACGTACACCAAGGGTCTACTTTCACTAAAAACACCACTCAAGCTCATATTTAGGGCAATCCTTACCTGTACAGAGACGCAATCCTTGATTTTCGAAGCGAGAACGGGAGGTTCCGAGTCATCCGAACTGGTGGTAGGAAAAATCGGCAGTAATTCGCCTCGAGATGACAAGCACAGTCGACAAACACGATCATAATTCACACTCATTGTAAATAAACACAATTTTGAACTTTTTACACTGTCCACAACGCTTATAAAAGAGACGCCATGTCACCACGAGCACTTCAACACAAAGCACTGCACATCGTTCTTGCTTGAGCACGAAAGCGGCTGATGATGAGCATGAGAAGTCGATAGGTTCGGTCGGGACGGCTGGCTCGAGTCGCCGACCACCTGTCGTTCTGCGCATGTGCGCGTAGAATGGCGTCAATGCTGCCAACATAAAGACGAAAAATAATGTACAGTTTCAGGGCTCGCAAACAAATGGTATTTTATTAAATAAAACCACGCACGTGTTATTTTTAAACTTGATCACAAGTTAAATAAATACAACTAGGTAATAAATTGATTCGATCAAGATTGTATTTGTTTGTTTTAAGTTTGTTGTTTATTGGTTTCAAATATCAAGCAAGAGGTATCGATAATTAAGTCAAGTGATCTTTGAAAAACAGAACCTTGTGAGGACAATAAATTTAGATCGTTCGAGTTTAATTATGTTTTCATGCATGTATTATTTTTATTTTATCCCTAACTAGCTGACCCGGCGAACTTCGTACCGCCTTAGCGTAGAGATTTTCTTAATATTTTTTTCCGTAAGAACCATCCTTGGACTTCCACAAACATTTAAAAAAAAGAATTATCGAAATCGGTTCAGCCGTTCACACGTGATGCCGTGACAACGCGAAACGGGTTTCATTTTTATATATATAGATAGATTAGTTCGTTCGGACACACACGAAAATCAAATCCATATCTGTGTGGACATTTTATAATATTGCGATTTTTAATTTCTAGGACTGAAAACGAATTATTGTAATTATTAAAATTGAGTAATGTTTTCTTTATTTTTATTTTAACTGTAAGTATGGCAAAGAAAATTTTATTTTATGCTTTTGTTTGATAAAGCTATTATAAATAGTGTCAAATATTTATTGCATACTAACTGATCCAGCAAACTTAGTACCGCCTAATTATGTCTGTTATTCATATCATAAGACGCCATTGCGTGGTCGGATATCAAATCATCACGTCGTCATGATGACAAGTCACCCGACAAGGTGGTGCACTGCACATTTAATAAACCTTTAGAAGTGTTTTTGTTCCTAGTAACTTTTTTTACTACAGTCTCGTTCAAATTATACTGTTTGTATTTGTGTACCTATTAAATAAATATTTTAATTTTATTATCAACCAGAATCCAAGCAGCCGCTACCAAACTAAGGACCTAATCGATATTGTGTGTATATTCTGTGGTATTATTAATGTCCTTAACCTCGTAAAATATTTCTGAATTGGTTTTCGTCATTAATGACAAATTATCATGAATGTGTATTTCCAAACAAAATAATTTTATTATTATGTTGCTTTAGTTATCAAAAAGGTTGCCGTGCCCTGAATGTTATCGTCTGTCTCGCTCTAACCTATATGGAAAATAGCGCCAAATTCAAACATCGGAGGAAATGTCAGCGGGTTTCATTTTAGCGGCAAATACAAAAGTTCGTGTTCGAGGAGTAGCATTTTTAATGGGTTTGTTGTGAATTGTTATTTTCTATTGTGATTTGTAATGCTACATTAATTTATTTATAAAGATAATATTCCAAAGAGATAAATGGAATACTGACAAAAATCTAAATATTTACCTCGAATTAAAAAAGGGTCCCATTTTTATCCTTTGGGTGCGGTGCGGAATCTTAAAAAGGACCCTTGACCTAAAACATCACGTCTTTTTTGTTCACCTGTTATTTTTCTGATAATAAGAACATTTTACTGGTGTTATTTTATTGAACATTTCTTGGTGAGTAAGTAGGATTCCGCTTGAAATGGTTGATCTAAATAAATGGAAGTGATAGGTATAAAAAAAAACATTTTAATTTGGTATAATTTATTTATTATTACTTAATGACTTATTATTTTTTGCTGAAGCAACATTCAATGGCACACAACATTTACAGTTCTAATACACAATTGATTATGTTTACTTAAATCCATAACACTTATATTTTTTTTAAATTTATACAATATGTTACCTTTGGTAGATTAGTATGTCTATTATTTTAATGTTTTAGCAGGTTGGATTTAATGAGAATCCAGTTTTAATGGAAAGATTTATTACCTTGTGATTGCCTACATTGCTACATTTTTGGAACTGTCGAATAACCAAAAAAGTAATGTCCATTTATTTAATTAAAATAGGCGGTCTTCAGTGGAATGTTTTTAAATGGTTAGTAAGTTATGGCACAAGTTATGGGTAAAACCTTGATTTTAGTCATTACGTCACCCCAGTGACGTAATCTAGATATTTTATAAAAAAAATAATTGAGATCTAAATCAGTAAATCGGGGATAAAAAGGATACATTTACAAAAAAATATTAGGCCTCTAGAAATGTGAGGATGATGATGTAAAAAAATACATCCAGGATTTTAGGCACAAACAACTTGTATGCAGAAATAGGTAAGTAGGTGATTTTTTGTTTTTATTGTCCAGGTATGTCATTAATACATACGAATTTATTTATTTAACTAGCTACGTCTACTTTATCCTTGCAGTTTAGAATTTAGACAGTAGATATAAAGTGAAGAGAAAGATGAAAATGCCTGTGATTGTTTTAATGATCTCATGTACACACTTTACTTATACTTTAACAGTCTAGTCCGCAGTATACTGGAGTACTGTAGCCCGGTGTGGAGCCCCGAAGTCATTCAAATAGACTGGAGCGTGTACAAAAACGCTTCTTGTATCTTCTTGTATCATCTTAGCTATTCAGATAACATGTGTCGTTCACTACAGTCCTATGAGGCTCGCCTTTCACACTATGGTCTTACTCCATTGCACATCCGTAGGAAAGCTTCTGATTTACTTTTCCTTTTCAAGGTCGTTAATGGTCTTATCGATGCCCCGGATATACTGGAACGTTTAAAATTTGCCGTACCTCGTAGTAGCAGCCGCGTGCAAAATCGAAAGACGTTTTCTATCCCTCCGTGCAGGACTCGACTCGGTCAGCACTCCCCGTTACATCGCATGTGTACTTGCTACAATTCTATGCGTTTTGTCTTTGACATCTTTTTTGGTTCTCTCGTCTCCGCCAAGCGCCGTATCAATACGGCTATTCTTGATTTAAAATAGTCTAAAATTAGTCCAAATTTTGTTTAGTTCTGTGTAAATGTAAGATCTGGTTTATCTGTGTAATATTCTTAATAAGGTGGTTTAATTAATTATTTTTATATGCATGCTGTGCTTACATCGAGTAGGGTAAATCAGTATGAATTGATTTTACACTCATTACTTACTTTTGCATGATATTTGATTGTACCCAGTTTTGTAAGCCAAATAAAAAAAATAAAAAAATGTACAGACAGAAGTGGTAGTATTGTTATAAAGGTGATAATTATCTATTACACAGTATTAGGTTTTTAGACTTTCTTTCCACAATAAAAGTAAGAGGTAATACCTAAACGCGCATCTTATAATAAAACTAGTTTAATCGATACTTACATTACAATTAATTATTAAAATAATATTTTATAAGGAATTTAATATTTGTATAGGATCAAAATATATTATTACTTATACTTACTTTATTACCTACAATAGTTAGTATGATTTACTCTTTGAGGTGAGTACAAAATAAACTTATTGTAATGCTGTAAGCATTTTAATAATTACAAAAAAGGATGTTTCTGTAATCAAGCCATATTTTAACCATATCTTTTATGGACAATGTACGAATATAATCCTGCACATTACTTGTCTTATTACCAAATAATTTCTTTTTTTTAATGGATTTTAACTTGCAACGATCACTATTGTTTTAAAGAAAAAATCCATTCCCCAATAATTTGAAGTAGGTAGATATGTATGACTCTACATAGACCCGTTTTAAAATTAATATCACGGTCATATAAATTAATAGGTCACGTCTTAACTATTTCTTAGTGAATTATGTAATATTATAATTTATTTATGAATATATCATTTTAAACCGTTTAATATTTACTATAGGTAACAATTAACATTAATCATGTAAGTAAGGTAAGTGCCCCCTACTTCGGTATATTAAGGCTCTTACGACTTTAACAATTTATTTAAAAATAACCAAGGATGATATCAGTATGAAAGCTTTTGTATGCTAAAGTTTGGTCTTTTGACAGTAACTTAATACATAAATTATAGTTATATGGTTTAAACTTTTTTTAATATTAATTGTTCTGCGGACCTCTTGTTTGGATCCTGTTTCGTGATAAAATTTTGCTCTGTTTCTAAGTTCGTGAACTCATGTCCCCTATTTCGGGATAAAGTTTTACGCATCGAGTTAGGATATTTTAGTAATGATTAAGTGTTAAATAAATTTAAAAACGATAGTATAAATTTAGAATAAAAGAATTCTGTGAAATTGACGATATTACTTACCTGAAATATTCATGAGAAATAATGTGAGTCTGTCTAGCTAGGTAGGTACGTACCTTCGTATAAAGATTTGATTTATTATTCTAACAATATGTGAAAATATTTATGTAACCATCAGAAATGTAGGGGGGCCATACCCCCCCCCCCCCCTAATTTATCTTAAAATTGGTCATTTATGTGAACTTCAAACTCGTGTCATATAAATTGTAGTGAACGAAACATATACCGAATTTAGATCATGAGAAACTTAAATAAATGTATTATTTGTGTCATAACTTACATTTCAATTATCATAAATAATTATTTAAAAACCAAGCATCAAAATATTATCCATAATATCCTTGATTCGGTAGTATCACGAAACAGGGGACACCCGAAAAATAATATGTACGCTATTTCGTGAGTCCATTAATCGCAATTTTAAAGTAATTCTACGTTTTCATATAACTTTTTTCTAAGCCAAATCAATTGTCAAGGAACACATGAAACCACTATTACAAGTTTTATGCAAATGGACGTTTCTTCGCCTTTTTATAAGCCTAAGAAGTTGGAGCGCTGACCTTACGGTGAGAACAACATTTTCACGCCGCACGGCTGTTTTTGGCTCTCTGAGAGTTTGAAGCTTCGTATTGCTCTCATTTTTGGCGCCACAATGTTGGTACTTGGTTTTTTAGATAGCTTAAATAATAGAGATTTTATAGTAATAAAGAATTTTTATAAATAATATTCCATTTGCTTACTATTTGAGCTAGAAAAAAAACTTACGAACTTACGTACTATCACGAACTAGTAGCCGTTTACCTTAGGTCATCTAATATATCCAACAAATATCTAATACAATCTGTTCATCACAATACATTTTTGCTTTTTATAAAGGATGATGGGCACAAATGTATGGAAAGTGGTACCCGCTCCAATAGCCATAACCAATATATATTTTAAAAGGCCTTTAGATGTAGGAAAATGTCTGCTATGGGGCCAGTTCTAATTCACGTTTTGAAAGCAGTAATTCCACTAAGTATTATAATGAAAGTATAACACAATCATCCATGTATACGAGTATGTATTATGACTACAATCTATTAATATAACTAAAATAAGCATTGAAAAGGAAAGGATTATACCTACGATGAACTACCCAAGCTATTAGCCCTTTATTCGCTTTCATCATAATCATCATGATCATTTTAGCCATAGGACGTCCAATTGAACATAGGCCTCCCCCAATGATTTCCACAATGGCCGGTTGGTGGCGGCCTGCATCCAGCGCCTTCCCGCTACCTTTATGAGGTCGTCGGTCCATCTTGTAGGTGAACTTATTGGGTCTTGTGGGTTTATTCACTTTAGCAACTCATAATAAAATCCTTAAGAAGTAATAAAACTTTAACACCTTTATTAATAAAAGTTACACCCTAGTTGAACTCTAGCTTAAATTGTCATTTGGTATGGAAATGTCATTTTAATCCAAGGTTCTTCCTAGGTGGAACTTTTTATTAATAAGGGGGTAATACTTCTTTAAATAAAAATATTTATTTCACAATTATCCCCATCAATAATTATAGAGTTAAGGAAGGATGCTGAAGCAGTAAACCCTTCCTGCCTCGCATAACCTAAGTACCATACGATGGACACGTATGATACTTCTTCTTCTTCTTCGGTCCCTCACTGATGAGGATCGCGACCACAGATAGTGTTCCTCCACAGACTGCGGTCATAAGCTGTGTGGACCGCACGATGCAAACTCCCGCCCACCGTCTTCCTCACCGCGTCCGACCCTGCCCCGAGCGCGTCCCCCTTCATACTGTATGATACTTAGGTATACAAAAAGTATCTTTATCTTCGAACGCAACCAGATCTGAGGCTGGTGGCCATAGTAAATGTTGTTCGTCTTGGTAAGACCTTTCAAATGACACTACAAACATAACTATTGGAGCCGGGTACCATTCTGCAAAAAAGTATGTATATCTTCGTACACAACCAGATCTGAGGCTGGTGGTCATAGTAAAAGTTGTTCATCTTGGTAAGACCTTTCAAACGATACTAGACACATATCTATTGGAGCCGGGTACCATTTTGCCCATTGTCCTTTTCAAAAAGGCATTTAATAATTATTATTTTTATAATGCAATGCAACTAACGATTTGACAGCTTTTGTTCAAGGTCAGCCTATCTTAGAATATTTTTTTTTACCCAATTAGAACCTACCTACCTAGTCCACTTTAAAGTATTTAATAGGTAGGTAGTTATACCTACTTAAGTGTTACTTGGATAAGTCTGCACTACAGATGTGCAGCATAATAGAAGAATTTATTATGAAATTGAGTTGAATTACAAGAATATTATTAAGTCTATTCTTTAAGAAATGGTTGATTAAAAGTTATAATAGATAATGACATGTTAAAAATAAAGGTCTGCCATTTGGAGTAGGTAGAGCCATTTTCTTAATGAATAGACTTTTCTCCTCACTTATTACAAACATGGCCTCTATTATAATTTGTGCTGTCGGCATTGCTTGCAGTCAGCCCACTGATTCAGTCCTTGTTTACACCAGTCACTTCCAGTCCAACAATGAATATGTCAAAGTTTCAGATCTGCTAGTCAGCCTGCACGACGACATTGGTCCGCTGAAGCGTTCTAAATTCAAACGCCACATTTGAATTTCGCGCGCAATTTACGAACATGGCGGGCACGAGGACCTCTGTTCCTGCGTCTGGTGCGCGCGCACGGCCAGCCTAGACGGGTCGACGGGGTTCGCTTTCGCGACTAAAGAGCGCGCCACATGGGCGAACGCCGCTTCGACGTTCAGTCCGGTTTTGGCTGATGTCTCCATAAACGCCACTTGGTACTCTCTCGCCAGCCGCTGCCCTTCCTCCCGCCGCACCGCCCGCTCGAGCCCGCTGTCGGATTTGTTACCTGGAACGAGCAGACTGCATTTGTAGAGGATTGTAGGGTTATTTCATAAGCCTGAGGCGTATACATTTTGGTATGAGGATTCTGCGAAAGGATTCCTTGCGATTTATTTGTTTCTTTATATGATTTGTCAGCACTCAGCAGTTAACTTTTGTTATATTATCTTGTAAGGTATTCAAAGAATGGTAAATTTTCCAGATTGATAGTAAGGGGGCGTCCATAAATTACGTGAGGCTTTTAGGAGGGGGAGGGAGTCAACAAAAACCTCACCAAATCTCACGTGGGGGAGAGGGGGGGTCTCGGGAAATATCACGTATTTTTTTCCATAAGAAATAGAGAAATAGAGTTTACCAGAAAACTGGGTTAAATCTTAAGTAAAAAAATTGGACAAGTGCGTGTCGTGCCACGCGCAGTGTAGGGTTCCGTAGTTGTCCGTCGTTATCACAATATATTTCAGAAGTAAGCAATTACTTCATCTAAAGTCACTTTTAATATTTTCTTCTAAGGAATTTTTATTAGGTATGAAATTTTATAATACATGAGTAAAACGACTATTACTCTTGAACTAACTGATCTATCTTAACCGCTATAGTTTTCCTTGAAAGTTCATAAAAAGCACTATAATCTTGAATTTTTCCAGATTTATCAAGCTAACAGTTTAGTTTTTAGCGGGGGGGACGCCCTACTCGGACAAAAAATTGCACTTTAAACTTTAATATTTTGCAAACGGATCCCTAAATCGAGAAATGGTCTTAGAAAACCCTAAGCCATTTTAAAAGACCTATCCAACGATACCCCACACTATGGGGTAAAAGACGAAAAAAAAATCATCCCCACTTTACATGTAGGGGAGCTACCGTAAAAAATTTTTTTTTTTTCAAAATTTTATTCTACCCTCTTGTCGGCGTGATTAATATACATACCTCTACAAAATTACAGCTCCCTAGTGCCAATAGTTTCCAAGCAAAACCTCGGACAGACAGACAGCCAGACTTATGGAAACTATATTAGGGGTTCCTTGTCAGGAGTAAAAAATGATATTTGTATGATGATAATGTCATTTTATTCTATACAGTCTAAACAAATAAAACTAAAAATGCTTCCGTCTGCATGTGTGAATACTAAAATGCAGAAATACTGACGAAATTAAGAAAATTATAAAACAAGTTATTTTTTTATCAAAATCGATTTTGCTAGATTATTAGTGATTTTGTAGAAAGGAACAATTAGACTAGGTACTTCTGTAAAAAAACAATGTGACCCTAGTACTAACACTAGATACACGTGTTTTTCTGGACCTATTCGTAATCAGTGGGCTTAGTGCGACTTTACACAATCGTCATCCGCTAGCGACTGCGTAAAAAATGACATACATTAAATGTATGATAATTGTAGGTACAGCGTCCTTAGCAGATACTTTCAAGAACTGAAATCTTTAACTTTATAGATCTTTTTGATGCACTCGTTAGCGACAACGTTAAAGCACACAAAAAAAATGTTACTCCAAAACTATTAAATTTCGGATTTTTTTAATATCACGTGAGATTTGGGGGTGGGGGAGGGGGTCAGGCAAAATCTCACCAAATCTCACCAAGGGGGGCGGGGGGGTTGAAAAATAGGCAAAATTGTCTCACGTAATTTATGGACGCCCCCTAATTGGGTGACACTATCACAAGTCGTGGCAGAAACCTTAGCAGTCTCTAAAGCCACTTAAATCTAAACTTATCTATCTAATATCATAAGTACCTACTCGTATCAACTCTTGCTCTTACTGCTAAAATACCACTCATAAGATTACCAAAATTTTACCACAACCTACTTACATTACTAAAAAACCACGTGGAACCTATCAACCTACATTATACAGGGTGGAAACGATAAGTGATCTCACTCGATTATTTCTAAACTATACAAGATATCGAAAAACTGATTACTGATCCTGAAAGTGCTTCACAAGCTCTTTCAAACGATATCAGTAATAGGTTACACAATTAACTGGATCTATCCGAAAATTTAATGTTTTCAGCCTCCATACTAAATGTATGCCACTATGCCAGCCACATAATATTAGAAGTGTTAATTTTTTTATTTTAAATAATAAACACTTAAAATTAACTCGTAAATTGCATTCTTATTTAAAGTTATTCATGGAAAACATTGGTTTTAAGCTTTACTTGCTATAATATTATCGAGACATGAGTGCCATGACTGTGGCAGTACTAAATGTATGGAAGCTGGAAACATTGAATTTTCGGATAGATCCAGTTTATTTTAGAACTTATTATTGGTACCGTTGGATAAAGCTCGTGAAGCACTTTCAGGATCAGTAACCAGTTTTTGGATATCTTGTATAGTTTTTAATAAACTGTGGTTTTACTAAATGTATGGAGACTGGAAACATTGAATTTTCAGATAGATCCAGTTTATTTTGTAAACTATTATTGATACCGTTGGATAGAGCTCGTGAAGCACGTTCAGGATCAGTAACCATTTATTGGATATCTTGTATAGTTTAGAAATAATCGAGTGAGATCACTTATCGTTTCCACCCTGTATAAAATACCATTCAGAGCCCAAAACTTTTTACTCGAGTAGCCTCGTAAATACCCTGGAAGCGTCTTACTTTCCTTATGTGGCTGGGTAATCACATCGTGGGAAGCCGAGGACAAAGGTTGGCTGGCGTAACACCGTCTTTCTTGGAAGCAATAAAGAAATAAGACAACAAAAGGAACAAAGGCCACTTGAGTGTCGACAGCCGACAAGTGCAAGGGTCGAGTCGAGTGACGGCTAATCAATTGTCCAGGGGAATTTTCTAATAAACAACATTTTGGTAGAAATTAAGTACAAAGTTCCGGATTCAAAGGATGAAAACGTTAAACGACTTCCACGGCTTGCCACGAGATTAACTAAGTAACTGGTAAATTGTTTTCTAGTAAGTACCTATAATTAGGAAGATAAATAGGTAGCTATGTCTCTAATGACCGGCATGATATTTTCATAAAAGTTCAATTATCCCTTTTACAAAAAAAAATAATTACCTAAGTACTTACTTACTTACTTTCCTGCATTTCGCAAAATATTTGAATAAGTTCACTTAATTTCATTGGAGCAGTTAAGAGTTGATACCTGAAAAAAGCGTGAAGCGAGACGTTTCTGTAGGAATAATTGGAAGTTTTGTAGCATTTTTATCAGCACTTTACCTAAAAGCATGATGACGACGTCGTCCTGAGCGTATTCCCGGATTTCCCCGAGCCATGCGCGGATGTTGTCGAAACTCGTCTTATTCGTCACATCGTAGAGCAGCAGTAACGCTGTTAATTAAAGAAAAAGACACATTGTTATTGCTGAAAAATGCTCTAAAGTTCTATGAAAATTATTAGGCCTTTTCTTTGCAGTATATTTTTTGCCATAAGTCTCAAAAATCAGTTATTTAACGAAGTTTCAGCAAGAAGTAATTACTTAGGTCCAGGTCTCCATAATGAGTATTTAATGCATTATCTTACTGGACCTCCAAGTCATTAAACATCGAAACGAGAGCTTTGTTCGTTGTGTCGTACATAATCCAGATTATCCATGCAATGTAATATGCAGATGCAAAACCTATACCTACGTAAACCCACCATGGTGCATCTTATAATGGAACATTTCACTTATCACATGGCGTAGCTTTTGGCAGTTTGCCAATGTCGCGACAGTGAAGCTTAAAAATTGTAGACTTCTCTTAATAAGAGGGCTTTTCATGTCCCTTGGGAAATTTTATACAGCTGTACCATGTTTGCGTATGGAATGTTATATTTCATGCTAACGATGCAAGAAGAAATAAATAAAGATAACACAGAGACTCTTTGGAAAAAATATTCTTATTTACATATTATTTAGTACCTATGTCGAGGCCTGGTGGTGACAAAGATACGCACTTGACCGTTTTATTTTTTAAATTAAACGACAGTGAGAAATCTATTTCGGAGCCGTGCGATCTCTGCAGTCCAAGTGGGACTGTCTCAAAGGAAGATTAGGTCAAATCCTAGGCTAAACTAGACAAAACATCGTGGTTCTGGAATGGAGGAAAGATGACTTTAGATGATAATGATTACGAGGAAACCTTTTGCAATCGAAGACAAAAAATGTTATTGCTTTGTGAAAGTATTATTGTTTCTTCCGACAAAAGTCAAATCAACTTTATAAAAGCTTAGAAAAGCTTTATTCTTCTGACAAGACTCAGAACGGTGGCTTAAAAGCGGAAATACGTTGCTCGTTGAATTGCGAGGGTAGTAATCATTTCCAGGAAAGCTTGTTTATTCTTAGGGAATATAAAAGCTTACGTTTAAGTATTATTAGGATCTATATTTATTGCAATACTTTTATGATAATTAAACTTTAATGTAAGATAACATTAAAGTTTAAATTGTGATTATTTCCGTTTCAAACAATTCATAATACCAAAAAGGACTCTACACTCTCAGTAAGTATTAAACACTTATCGCCATCGGATGTTATGGGATATTTTTAGTTCTCCACATTATTCCTTATACTCGTTCCCAACAGGATAATGATCATTAGCGAACTAATGATGTGCTAACTGCTGGGAGTGGCCCATATGTGCGCGCACTCCACACGTGATCCGGTTTGACGTTGAGGTTGGATTGCGCACACGCACCGGGTCGAGGCCAATTCACTCGCGAGTGGATGGAATGGAATGGGTTTGTGGCATGTCTAGACTACCGAATGCGTGGTCTGATTAGCTACTCTGTGGTATAGAAATACCGCGCGTTCTATTTCTAAATTAAATTGAAAAAAAAAATGTTTCCTTATTTAACCTACCTACCTCATGTAGATAAGCAGGATTATTTGCGACTACAGTTGTTTACAAGCTCTCCTCAACGCTTCGAGTAGTTTATTATACGTGAACTAGATGGCGCTACTAGTCTCATTTGTAGCTTGACTCGAATGAAATCGACTGTAATTAGTTGATTGTGTGTATTAATATCCTTTCGAGAATAAATACCATTATGAATGCGTACTTTAAAAGGTTCTACATAATATTCTTACCATGGGCGTCCCTATAATATGCGTGTGTCACACTTCGGAATCGCTCTTGGCCGGCCGTGTCCCAAATCTGGAGTTTCACCTTGATGCCGTCGACGGTTACCACTTTATTCTGCGAACAGATGGCGCTAGTTGTACCGAATGAAAATGTAGAGATGATTTATGATGGTAGAGCTGCTTGAATATCGTCACATAGTTAATGATTAGTTCGATGATAATGAGTGATTAGATAATAGTGGTTTATTAATAATAGACATACCTACACTGGTAGGAAAATGAAGTTACTAGTTACTCACATAAAATATTTAAAATGAAATTAACAATACCTAACTAATTTAGTCTAATTACTAATTAAAATATCAAAACCATAGCCTAATTTGTTTATGACCTTCCCCCCACCTAGGTATTTACAATAACAACGATGACGTAAACCTATTCCCAATCTAAAACTCATGGGCGCTCAGTGACAGCATCCATAAATCAAAATTGCAAAAAGTTAGCAAGCAAAAAATCGGGCACCATTGCTAACAATAAATCACTCACGCGCGCAGTCGATTCGATTCAATCAGTGCTGTCACAGCGAGGGGCGGGAACGGAAAAAGCGCGCCAAACTTCAAACACCAATGGCGTGGAGGCGACCCGTCCGCTTGCAACACGTGACTGGCTAATTTGAACTTGGAACCCTTGACGGTCATGAATTTTTCTTTTATGGCCAGTATTAATATGGTAATTGAGAAGATGGAAGTTAACTAAATGATTCTTTTCATTGTTAGTCGTCTTTAATAATTTCTGCCAAGTAAAGAAAGATGCAACGGCTAACAAGGTTAGGTACACGTTTCAAGTTTTTTTTTAGTTTCGGAATGATATCAGTATCAGATTAAATTAAACCTATGAAATTACCAATAATAATGCCTATTAAGATTAGATGCCTACTTAATACATAAGTATAAGTTTATACACATAAACATAAATAAACATAACTGACAAAATTAAATGAATGTCATTTATTACGCGCATACATTTCTATAATGACTGTAGAGTTATTAATAAAGTAAAAACGTTACTACACGTGGAAAATTGTACCGTTTCACAATCACAACCTGTGACAAACCATAGGAAATTTTATTACCTCCGAGCTGCATCTCCATAATGCCCGATATCGTGTAATGCCTACACGTACACGTGCCGTTTTAAAACCTTTGCCTTTTAGTGTCAATTTGTAAAGTGCTTTGATAGAGTTTTTACTGCGCTGGACTCGTGCCTTTGTAGGCTTTTATTTTGTCCTTTATTTAGTTCGAGTGCCCATCGTTTATTAAGATACATGATGTTTTTTTATGTATGTAACTTTAATTAATTAGTTTAGGTACTTCGCGTTACATCTAGGGCTCTCCAAATCTGACACGATCCCGGGCTAATCCAAATAAGTTAAAATATAGGTCATGGAATGCAAACTTAGGTCAATGTTTACAATCACAGGTCTTCGTAGCAACGAAACAAAAACGCGTCAAAAAGATTTTATTTATAAAAAGATGTTAACTAAAATGCTTCAAATAGAATAGTCTCTATTCTCTAATACTCGAAATACGTTACGAATTTCATTGTTTACAAGCACATCGAGAATGGACTTCGATTTTCGATACGAGCATGTGCGGGAAAAGCTTCGATATTTTGCGAGTGACGAGGGACACTTCACAACCTTCACGGCGCGAAACATCATGTGCATCAGCGTAAATTCACGGAACGACGATTCGCTCGTGTGAAAAGCGCGCTTTCCTTTATCAGACATTGGAAAAAAGTCACCATCTCATTTTGAATGTTATTTCCTTGTGATAAGATCCTAAAAGCTAAAACAGTGGAAGTTTTTGTCAACTTACGCTCCAAAATAAAAAACAATAGGAACTACAAATTTTCCGTAGCCAAAGAAAATCAAACCATAAATCGCTTAGTGTAAAGTTCAGTTTCCTATACCCGGAAGTCGATCCCGACTGTGGATATGTAGTTCCCGGCCAGGAAGGTGCCGTCGCGGAAGCGCACCAGCATACAGGTCTTCCCCACCCCGCTGTCTCCTAGCAGCATCACCTGGAAATCGATAGACAGGGAAATAAATACGTGTAGACCTTTATAGACGTGCATAGATTAGGCTGGTTTTAGTGTCACGCGGACCGTCCGGTGCGGACCTGCTCCGCACGGCCAATCTGTATGAACTTTTTTTTTTTTATGCTAGCCAAGGCAGGTATTTGACCGCAATCGCACCTGGTGTTAAGTGAGATGCAGTCTAGGATGGTACATATCTTCTACGGAGCGTTTTAGAGTAATGCGTTCCGGAGCGATCTGTACTGACAGTCCGCGTGACACTTGAACCAGTCTTAGAACTCTACCTTAAAAATAAAAAAGAGTAAAGATCCCTCCACTATTCATGGCTATGATGAACTACATGTTGAGGAAATAAAGTGTGGAAATACAGATTGTCATCCTTTTTAAAAAACGACGAGGTATTGTCCTTTATGCTTAGAGTTTTGGTAGAAATGGCAAAGAGGTAAAGGGTACGAACAATATTTTGGGAAAATCATTGTGAAATCAAAATTGTTGTTTCCATTTTCACCCAAAATTACCGCGACATAATCAAATAGTGACAATGCAAACTATTGCGGTTAAAAGCGGAGATAAAATTATATTTCCTATTTGTGCCAATTTAATTATACCAGGAATTTGAATTGTTTCATAAATTTATACAGTATGAAGTATGATAAATAATTAGTTAACCCAAACTTAACGAGGAATCTATTTTAAACAAGTCCGCCGAATAATGTTTTCATTATAAAGCATTATTGAAATATTTAAAACATCATACAAAGTTCAATAAAATTAAATTCATAGAGCAAGTACCTAAGTAAATAAAATTATGCCCCTGCTAACGAGGGCTTCAGCCCGGGATTTCGTTTTAAAATTACTCAAATATAGTTACTCAAATACAGAGTCTGTTGTTTTATATTTTATACCTCTTTTATAATAAACGTACCTAAGTTCAGTAAAAAAGCATTTACTTACTTTGCCAAAGACCTCGTATTTGTCCTCTTGCTTTCCCTGTTGTTCCCATGGTTCCGTAGGGCTCGGAGGTTCACTGTGAGGCATGACCCCCTCCTGGTCATTTTTATCATCGTCCTCTCTAGCTTCTGGAAGGTTCCTAGCCCATGTTGGTCGGACCCTTCCAACTATCACGCGTTTTTCCATCTGCCTGTTGTCCACGGAGTTTGGATTCCACATTTTTTATTTTTATACTTTTGAAACTCGAACACTGATGTCGATTATTTTTGGTTTTTTTTTTCAAACTGTAGCTGATGTAGTTTTGTTAGTTGCCAGTCACATTTTAATGTATTTTTTTATTTCACTTTATTCCTCATCCACACTAAATTCATAATAGTCCAGTAGAATTAGCTTTTAAATCGGAAATAATTCCTACAAAAGATTTTATTGTTTCAATGGCTTCTTTGGTTGCCCATTAAGACTCTCCTAAGTTTTCGACTTCGACGGAGTTGTGCTTAAAAAAGTGGTGGGGGCCCCCGAAAGAGGCATTTTTTCGGTTTTCCGGTTATACCGCGTAAAGGACTTACCCTATCAAAAAGTGGTCTTCATGACGGTTGAAGGGCACTTAATCCTGCATTGAATAAGACCAAATTCATATGTTTTGGACAAATCGTTCTCGCGCTAAAGTTCGGCAAAGTAGAAAATATACGTATAATTAATGACCCTCTCCACGTCCAATGGTTTGTTACCCACAGGCTTCCAAGTCTTGAAAAGGGCCACCTCAACCAGTGTAACCCTATCAAGGCTTACGAGCTTGATGCGCCTATCCTTGTTCGTCCCAGACGTTCCTTAACTGCGGTTGCTGCACCTCTTCCTGGCACTCACCTGAACGACTCTGTGTTACCTACTGTGGCTGCCCCTCTTCCTTGTATCCTCCTGCATGACTACGTTGCCTAGCCGTATGCCTGGTCTAAGGTTCGACGCCAAAAATCAACAACAACAAGTTCATATTAAAACGCTGAAGAGTTTTTTGTTTGTTTGTTTGAACGCGCTAATCTTAAGAATTACTAGTTTGATTGAAATCATTATTTTTGTGTTGAATAGCTCATACATTGAGGAAGGCTATAGGATATATACAATCACTCTACGACTAATAGAGGCGAAGCAGTAAAGAAAAATGTTGCAAGCACGGGAAATAGTATTTAAACTATTTTCACTCGTACGAAGTTGATTTTGTGGCGTCGAACCTTGGACCAGGCATATGGCTAAGCAATGAAATCGTACAGGAGGGTACAAGGAAGAGGGGCAGCCACATTAGGTAACACAGAGTCGTTCAGGAGAGTGCCAGGAAGAGGTGCAGCAACCGCAGTTAAGGAACGGCTGGGACGAACAAGGATAAGCGAATCAAACTCGTGAGCCTTGTTAGGGTTACACTGGTTAAGGCGACCCTTTACAAGGCTTGGAAGCATGTGGGTAACAAGCCATTGGACGTGGAGAGGGTCATTAATTATACGTATATTTTCTACTTTGCCGAACTTTAGCGCGAGAACGGTTTGTCCAAAACATATGAATTTGGTCTTATTCAATGCAGGATTAAGTGCCCTTTAACCGTCATGAAGACCACTTTTCGATAGGGTAAGTCCTTTACGCGGTATAACCGGAAAACCGAAAAAACGCCCCTTTCGGGGGCCCCCATCACTTAAGCACAACTCCGTCGAAGTCGAAAACTTAGGAGAGTCTTAATGGGCAACCAATGAAGCCATCAAAGCAAAAAAATCTTTTGTATGAATTATTTCCGATTTAATCAATTTTTGTGTTTAATTCTACTGGCCTATAAAATAAAATAAAATGGCTGTCGTAGAGAGAATCGTTGCAACTTTCGTGTGATTGAAATTCTTGAGATGCTTAAAGTGGAAAATAATAATAAACAATATTGTTAATAGTTTGATTTTTTATGATGTGTTTTTGATATGATTTAAAATGTTTGGTGCTTAGTAGAGTTGTTTGATGGAAGTCGCAGGGACACGTATTGGTGGTATTTTCCATCTTTTATTTGGCTAATGGTGCCGAAGTTAAACAAGGCACACAATACGGGTGTAATGAGGAAAATAAAAGTATTATAAACTGGTCCGAAATCAGGAAATCAGAAATAAAGGAAGAAACGAAGCGTGGGGGTATCGAGTTCTGAGTTGGAGGAAAATGATTTCGTGTCAAGTATTATTTACACGTGTAGAGTCGAAAGATTCATGGAAATATTGGATAGTTACATGTCTTTTGTGCCGCATGACAACTAACTTGCTATACGATATAAGATAAATATTATTGCTTCAACAGAATTGATTCAATAACTTTTCCTCCAGTTTCTGAATTGAGATATGAAATAGAAAATAAATTATACTGATCAGATAAAAACCTCCTCTTTTTTGTGAAGTCGGTTAGTGAGCACGATCAAGCTAAAAATATCAATTTAGTAACCAGGTACATGTATTGATCCGTTCTAATCATTTAGACGAAAGCGAAGTGACAAAGAACACTTTTGAGAAAAATAACTCTTCTATAGTGAACAGTGGTTTTATTTAATATTATTAAACACATCTATAACATTCAAACGGTTAAGATAGTTTTATAACTAAACCCCAAACATCTCTAACAACTAACTCTACAGTATACTCATGTTACAATCAGTTTAACGGTCTCCCTTTGACACCGTATCTTGATATTTGAGAAACTTGGCCATATAATTGTTGTCACACAACAATGTGACAATGTAACAATGTTGACAGTCCCAGGGGAGTGGGGGCTGAACAAACAGCCCTGTTACGCGGATTTAATTGTTACGTTTAATTATGTAGAGGTTGGCGTTCAACGTTTTGTTATGACTGTATCATTTTGACGGCACAGTCAAAGTAAAACTAGTCGTAGGTTAATTTGTTCAGAATGAAAAATCGTCAAAAAGTGAACTTACGTTTCGATTAGGGTTTCTGTTTTCTCGACCTATTTATTTTCTCGAGTTTCGGGAATTCTCGAGGCGAAAGTCTCGAGTTTTCTCGGGTCTCGAGTCTTTTAACTAAAACTGTTGAAATCGGTTGAAATTTAATAAAAACACAGGTTTTTTAATCTAATATACCTACTTTAAAGCACAATAATCAATATTAGAATTTAGTACCTACCACTTATTTTGGCAAGGAAACAAACAAAAAATGAAATCTTCTTTCATAATTAATATTAACTAATAATCATAATTTAGTTATTAACTAAAGGAACAAAAGTCATGAAGTCGCGTGTACTTTAAGGATAAAATAATAACAATAAAAAATCTGGAGCTACAATTGAATCACTTGTTTTCCAAAGGACACAAGTCCAAATAGCAAAATTACGATAAATAGTTTTTTTTATAAACAAAAAAAACACTTTTTAATATTTTTTTAAATTTCTTTAGGATAACGACTTGAATAAACTTTACGAGGAGGCACGAGTACCTAACCTAACAGACAGTAACAAACTTTCGGTCTTTAAATCAGTCAGAGTTAAACATACATAATAAATAGGTATAGCGTACTCGTAGGTAAACACTATTACTTAGTTTCGATTGAGATCATTAATTGCAAATCAAATCAGTTAAAAAAGGAAGACTAGGCCAGTCTAAAAGCAACGTTAATCTATTAAATAATTAAAAACTTACTTTTGTCTAAGAAAACAGGCTTTCAAGAGTATTAAAGCTTCAAAATCGAAACTCGAGATTTCTCGAGCTCCGGTAATTTTTTTCTCGTCTCGAATGAAGCCAAATTTCTCGAGTTTTCTCGAGTTTGAGAAGGCTCGAGCAGAAACCCTAGTTTCGATGATCGACTTTTTTTCATTTTTATGTGAGACAAGGTATTTGACGGCAATCGCACCGATTATCTTGGAGAAACTAAATTTGTTTTTCTTATTTGATATAGAAAGGTCTAAGCATAAGAAATAATAATATATTCCTCCTTCTAATTTAATTAGGTATACCTACTTAAACATTAAATAAATTAAGTACTTACACAAGTACACGTGTCGTAAGTTGAAGAACAAAAAAGGAAAATTGTTAATTTTTGTTTCCTGGAAAAAAATACGTAGCTTATTGTTAAGTTGTTTTATCATTTGTGTCTTACAACCTATTTAAATAAGTATCTGTGTGATGAGTACCTAAATACATATTAGTATGAATAAACTAACTTCTACCTCTACAAGTGTTTACAAGTTATCTAAGTAAGTATTTTCGAAAGTCGGTTCATTAGCTGAAGAAGGCAATCAGTGGATCTTCCATATTCTCACTTTTATGTACATTATGAACTAAATAACACGCGTATATGGTAAATAGCACGAATAACTACCGTGTCACCCTTGTTAGCTTGTTTAAAGTTGGGTGCACATGGCATTGAAGTAACGTAGTTTTAACTACGTTAGTTCGCGGCCGTCGCACAATGGATACGTGAGGTCTGTGTAGTCCGAACTTTAGAGCCGTGTGTTCATAGCCTTCAGGCTCTTGTGAGTATAGGCAAAATAGATAGGTGTGTATTATCAGCTAAAAGATGAAAAAAAAATTAATTTCATACCTACTGATTTATGTTTTGCATAATTTAATTCATTTAAACTGGTTTTACCGCGATATGCGGTATTGAAATACCTGTATTTGCCTGACGTTTCGACCGGGTTGCACCGGCCGTGGTCATAGGCTGACTGGAGCGTCGAGGGCGCGATCCTAATCTTATTTCAATATTATCTATACGCGTATCACGTTAAAACCTGTTTAAGTTGATATATTAAAGAAAATATTTTTTTCAGGATTCTAAAAAGCACTGAGCACTGAAAAATAAAAGCTTGTAATGATCCTTTCAAACAAACAAAGAATCATCGTTTGTTAACAACAATCAATCGCACCGTGCACCGCCTTACTCTTTCTGCATGGCCCGTGGTTGACTGGCAGAGAATACCATCCGGCATTAAGTCCGCCACAATTCATTGTATGTATGTATGTGGTAAAAGTTTAAATAAATAAAATAAAAATATATTGTGAGTATTTTCCGGATTCTGAAAAACTACTGAACCGTAAATTTATGCATAGGGGCCATCCATAAAGTACGTCACACGAATTTCATGATTTTTTGACCCCCCCTCCGTCCTTGTCACAGGTGGTCACATTTCTGCGACCCCGCCGCGAGTGGCTTTTCCAGCTCTCGGACTCTGAAACTCTGCTGATATCAGTTTTAATAATGTTATCCGAAGTGTCCCTCTCTCCCAAAGCAGATGGCTGCATGAGCGACAGTGACAGACAGACCCCTCGATAGATCCCTTGAGAAAAAGCAAATGAAGATGTTTTGATAGTCAATGTCTTGCTTGCGTCACTAGTTACTATCAATATCGATAAGATAACATTTTAGAGCAAGGTTTCTTAAGATGTGATTACCATAGGTAGGTAGATAAACTACTGAGCGAATCGCGCTAGCTAAGTAAAACAAGGATGGGTCTCCTGTGATCGGCTTTTCCGGCACCAGAAGATTAAGGTCCCTCTCTCTCACCCAAGCACTTGATTTACTACATGGATAGGATTTTTGTGGATGAGGAATAAAGGTAAAGGGAAGCACAAAAGATCCCAAGCTCATGCACGGCCCTAAATAAGATAAAATAGGTAGATAAAAATAATCAGAAGAATAGAAATTTTCGACTATATGAATTGGAAGAAAGACTTGCAAGCCTAGCTATCAACCAACTTTCAACCAAGCAAAATGTTAGACTGTCTTATAATGACAAAAAAAGGTTTAACAAAGAAGAAGTATTTCGTGTCCTAATAAAAGTTCAATATTGTCATCACTGTACAGGACAGGTAGTATTGATGACAAAGTTAATTAATTATGAATGCAGCAAGAATAAAACTCGACACCTAATGAGATCATTGCACAGAGGTTCAACGACTGATTTAGCATGTTTTTGCGGCACAGGCGAAGGGTGTAGCGTGGGACTTGGGTGTTTGTTCTAAGTTGTAATCTGTATTCTTAAACTTAAGAGCTGTGCTTTTCTTAACTTTTCTAGATACGTGCAGTTCATTCACGAAGGTCTCTGTCACGTAATTATTAATAGGATCCTCTGAGTACCTACCTAGGTATGAGGGATGTGAATAACGAAGTCTTCCAAGTCAGACTTCAGGGTCTTCGTCTTAAAGATATTATTACAAACTTTCCCACTAAATTTTCATAATATTTAAGTCGACTATGTACATTGTTTACATTTAATTAACTCAAATACAGCTCTTACTTTGTTTACGATCAGAATATTCTTATGTAGAGCTATTAAGTACCTAATAGACGAGTACGATCTAAATGAGTAATTTTCAAAAGACAAATAACACTTAGGTAAGAGGTACTTCTAGCGAGGAAGTTTTCCCGCCACTTCTTAAGACTTATACCACACAAATTGCAAATTTTAGCACACCTTAGTCCTTGGTGTCATTTAATGTTTGTTGTTCATAAAGACATCTGTGCCCTGAATAAAACAGAATGGGTGTATTTTCAAGAAGTTCCAAGAATTGCTGTAAAAAGGTAGTTAACATAAATAATTTTTACTTTACATCTTTTACTTGAATCATTAAGTCGGTCTTATCGGATTGTAACTTACATAAGCATGATCAAGCATTACGAAAAAGGGCTTTTATTCTTCATTTTCTAAATTCGTATTTGCCGTCCGTATGGCCGTCCGTTATTTTGAAATTGTGGTGAAATTATTTATTTGATAGTTATGTTAATACTCCTTGATACAATATCTATTTTTGGACATTGATTAATGTCAAAAAAGTTTTGGAAAATCACGTCAAAAATGATGTCAAGTTCGCTAATGACATATTATTCAAATGTGATAAACCAAATAAAACCAAGCGCAAGATTGAAACCATAAAAGAAGTTCAAATCCTATCAACATAGGTACTTCAAGCGTGTGAAAAATTTACCTATTCTAAGTAATTTATAACTAGAACTTGATCTACACAATGTCGTGGTCATCAGTTCGGAGGACAAGAGAATACAAGTTTATAATGGTATCGTATCATGATTATCGTAACTTTTCTGATAAACGATATCGCGGACTTTACCTACAATGATTAATTAGTGTAGGTAGTGCTACCGGCAGATTGTATCGTTGCAATTGTTGCATCTGCAGTTTAAAATGTTCGATTATTTAAAATACCATGGCTGATGGTGTAGTAGAGGATTCTGTATGTTACTGTTCTTGTACTCACAAAAGTGTTTTCTCTAAAGGGGCTATCCATAAAGTACGTCACACGAATTTCATGATTTTTTGACCCCCCCTCCGTCCTTGTCACAGGTGGTCACATTTCTGAGACCCCCCCCTCCCTAGTGTGACGTCACATGTTTTGCAATTTCAAATCGAAAAATTAATAAATTAACAGCAATTATTAGTTTTACATATTTCCATTTAAATTAAGTATTTACTTTTTTTATGAAATCAACATTATATCAAATATTTGAAACAATTGAAATGTGATGTCACAAAACTTAGGACCCCTCCCACCCCTTGTCACACTATGTCACACTTTGTCAACCCCCTCCCCCCCTCTTTACGTGTGACGTACTTTATGGATGACCCCAAAGAAGTAAAAACAGTGATTAAAAACTCTTTTGTTTTGCTTCAGATCGAGGAGGTTATGCAGCAGAAGGCGCCAGGGGTGCCTAGTAGTCTCAAACTCCAGTAAGTTATTTTAAAGATACCTATTATAGTTAAATACTATTTTAAAAATGCCTAGAAAGAAAATGCTTAAAAGTTGGATCAGTGTTAGAGCGCCATCTATTGATTGTACCGAATACTATCTTGTAACGAAATGCTTTGTCATTTAACATTGTGTAGGCGAGGCGGTACTGTATTTTCACCGCTCCTCCACATGGGGATATAGCTCAGTGGTAGAGCATTCGACTGCAGATCGAGAGGTCCCCGGTTCAAACCCGGGTGTCCCCTGACCAAAAGTCACTTTTTGTTTTTTTATTGATATTTTAATTGATGTTTTTTTAGTCAACCGCAAAGTTCGGGGGCTCAAGTCCGCACGAAGGGCTTCTCGGCCAATTTCTTCAAAGCCACCTTCAGCTCGAGAAGTAAGGCGGTCCCTGCCGCCAGCTCTACCCACTTCGTCTCCGAAACCACCAAAATAGGCAGCGCGGAGACCAAACCTATAACGAGAAATCGGCCTAGGACTGGTAAGAATCCGCACCTATTTAATAATAAACGTGCGTCACTAATTTCTTTTTTGTGATAATAACGTAGGATGTTTTTTACAGCACCGCAAGCCGATACTTCGACAAAGGTCAAACTAAAAAGGGCTGATCCGAATAAACCGCCAGTTAAACGTCCCGATAAATTAACGCTTGACTTCAAACGTCCTGAGAGACCAAAACAAGCGCTCACCCCTACCCCCGATCCAGGGGGGCCAAAGACCCCCAAGGGAGACCCCAAGAATGACCTAAAAAGCCCAAGAGTTGTCCTACAAATAGTGAAAAAGTCACACGCACCGCCGACACCGAGCAGCATCCTGCCGCCATCTTTGAAACCTAAAATCGTCGATCAAAAACTTAAACTTACGAAGAATATAAACAACAATGACGTCTGGACGAATTACGAAACTAAATCCTTGGAGCGGAAGAAACCAGCTTCGATATTGAAGTAAGTTTATTTTTATTATTTAAAAATAATTTTAATAACAAAAACTTAACGTTCGCAGTATCACTGATCGAAAACAGATTTAAAATTGCGCGCTAAACGGTCATGTAAACAATGCCACAATATGTACGAACCGAAAATAGCTCTTATCACGATACGTTACAGTTTGCTTTTCACAACTCAAACAACGTTGGTAAACCTGATTGACGCACGTGACGAAGATAATCTTTTTTGCCCATATACTTGTCTTCCTCTAACACACAGAAATGTCCATTTCTTACCTTCGCATATGTTATTGCTTTGCTCTTCACACGCGCTTCTAGTTTCCTCGATGTATTAAACGGCTCAGTGCTAGGTGGCGTTTTTGGTAGTGACGTCGAAGGAGATGTAGGGTCTTTTGAATTTGTCCGGCTAGTAGAAAGAAATGCAAGATTGTTTTTCCCAGTCGCACGGTGTATCGGGCACGCAACAGACAAGTTTGTTTGAATCGGCGGACCACGGATGTCGTTTTAGCCGGTGCTTTCTTTTTTTCGAACTTTTTATGTAACAAAACAAAGTTATAGTTTAACGATGGTGCATTAGTTGTGCATTTATAGTGACGTGTACGTTTTTCGGCTATCGGTGTTTGGTAGTGAGGTGATTTTAGTGTTGTGTTGGTGATTGTCGCGATGCCTGATGTTAAAACAATTGAACTTATTTACTTACTGGTGTCATTATTACACAGTCGCTTTCTCATATTGGTCGGTGTTGTCTGACACATTAGTGAATCGATGCATCGTGTCGTGTGTGACGTGAAAGTGTGTGTGTGTGTGTGTGTGTGTGTGTGTGTGTGTATGTGTGTGAGTGGTGAGAGAGAGTTGTGTGTAGAGTAGTCGTGTTTGTACATTTTATGAGCATCGTTAAGTGAGCGTGTGAAAGTACTTTTCAGTTTGATCATAACTTTTAGTTAAAAGGAGGCATCGTAAGCTTTTTTTACATTCAAAAAATGTAAGTTGGTATAACGGAAGTACTTTGTCAACCACCTCCCCCCCTCTTTACGTGTGACGTACTTTATGGATGACCCCAAGAACCACCAAAAAAAATTCGACGAATTGAACAAAAGGAGCTGAAGTATGAGAAATCCGAAGATTTAATAACATGATAGGCAAAACAATTCAGGTTTGATAAAATCGTGTTCGGATTTTCAAGATCTTTTAAAAGAAAGATGCCATCTTTTAAAACTCTTTAGAATCGATGCTCAAATCGCAATTCAATTTGACGTTTAACTTTCAATAAGCTTTTGCTGAATTTGAATATTTCAATCACTAGGCGTAATCTACGCTGAAGTTTGAATAAATCAATCATCTTCTATACTTATAATAAATCTGTAGAGAGGTCAATTCTGTACATGAAATATATTTTCAAAATAACTATCAGGGGGTGATTAGTGATCGATACTGATGCCAAAAATGCAATCAGTAAAATTTTTGTCTGTCTGTCTGTCTGTATGTTCCTTATAGAAACAAAAACTACTCGACGGATTTTGACGAAACTTGGTACAATTATTCTTCATACTCCTGGGCAGGTTATAGGATACTTAGGAATTCCCACGGGAACGGGCATTAGCGGGAAAATCCTTTTGTATGAAAAATCTAAACCGCTTAATTTAGACGCTTGAAATTTGGCAAGCAGGTACCTTAGTAAACTTAAAGCTTAGTTATAACAGGATATTGCAAAATTCCTACGGGAACGGGAATTAGTGAGAAAAAACATTTGTATGAAAAAATCTAAGCCACGTAAGATAGACGCTTGAAATTTGGCATGCAGGTACCTTAGTAAATTTAAAGCTTAGTTACAACAGGATATTGCAAAATTCTCACAGTCGCGGGCGGCCGCTAGTGAATAATAAATAAATACCTAAATCGAGTTTTAAATGCAATATTATGTAGACGTTTAGATCTTTTTGTAATACGGACGAATCATGGTTATACCAGTTATACTGAGTGTTATGCAGAAATTAACTAACTATTCTACTTATTTAGCACTCAGGATCACGATCAGATCAGAAATATTTTTTGAAATCAGTCTAGTAGTTCCTGAGATTATCGCGTTCAAACAATTTCTTCAGGTTTATAATTAAGTAGGTACATTTATTTACCAACGGGACTTATTAAGTCTATTTATTTGTTTCAATATTTAAAAAACAAACCTACTCATAATATGTATGTTTCGCTCTACTCATTACTCTATTTCATTAAGACATTATTTACTTAAGAGCTTATTTACGCAGAGCGTTGTAGTTTCACGCACGAGTCGCTTAAATAGTAACCACACAATAACACAGCATTTCAACTACATAACTAAAATTATAACTATAGCTTAAAGTATTTCTATAAATACAATCAGATTTCCCAATGACGAAACTAAATACCACGTACCAAAGGGAAACTTCCAGATGCTACTACGAATGGACTTTCCCTCAGCTTTTCACAAAAGGGCGCCGTCTACGTAATAAGCAAAACGAGACGTAATTTACCTACAGGTAGGGTTGCCAACGACAAGAAATAACGCAGCGAAGGATTATAAGCTATGCCAAATTGCCAAGCTATTTAACGAATAGCGGACTAGTTTAATGCGAAAAAAAAAACTTTATCAAAAGATTCAATTAATGTTTGCTAGACAATAAATAAAACCCATAAGAAAACAACGGTTTTGACGAGTTCAAAATAGGTACTAAATTAGTATGCCTATGATCTACCTAACATAAGTCACTAAAATATTTTTGACACGTTTTCTACATTAAAAATCACATCTTCACTTCTTGGCTGTCTGATTAAAAAAAACGTTTATTATTTCCGGGAATAGCAGCGTGACAACCCTATTGTCTTGTCACCGCCTCTGTCCCCTGGATTGTGTCGTCAATGCTGTTATAACTTTCGCCGCTCTTATAAAGGTTTTAAGAAATCTCATTTTTTCTCGCTTCCTACATAATACAGTTAACACTCGTACATTGCTGATACGTAAAAATAAATCATGTTTCATTCTGCTTTCACGGAATAGGTACCTAGGTAAGAATGTACTTATTTAAAAGCTGGATGTGGTGTCTGAAACTGACGGTAGATGGGGCAGCAAGGTTCTGGAGTGGAGGCCGCGTACCGGAAAACGCAGCGTGGGACGTCCACCTACAAGGTGGACCGACGACATCGTAAAGGTAGCAGGAAGGCGCTGGACACAGGCCGCTACCAACCGGGCAACATGGAAAGCATTGAGGCTTATGTTCAGAAGTGGACGTCCTATGGCTGAGATGATGATGATATGGTGTGGTGTCTTATGTGCGTTATGTAAGCTTAGTACAGGATTCTGATTCTAGGCAGTAGTACTATTCAATGGGACAATATTATTTGATCCTCTAAAAACTAATTGATCTTTTTTGTATGTGCACTTTTAAAAATAAATGATGTTTTTTATTATATTTTATCTTTGTATTAATTATTGGGTCTATATTAGTTGATCTACGGATAAATTATGAATGATCTTCATTAAAGGTAACATAATATTTATGTTTAACATACTCTTTTAATATTTGGTAAACAAAAATAATATTTGATCCTCTTTTTTAGTTATTGATCTTTAATTTTGTTAATTTGATGATTTTTATATCAAGTTTGCCTTTTAGCCTTTAAATAGTTTCCATCCTTTGACTACAACTTAATAAAAATAAGTACCATAACATAATTATTTTGAAGATTATTTGATATAGACAAAAAACAATTTATACAAATCGAATTATTTAAAAAAGTATCACAATATTGAATATTTGGTGCTCATTTCTTTTATTTTTGAGGACCAACAAGTAACGATCAGATATAATTTTTACATCTCAATTTTTTTTTGCGTAGTTCAAAAGAGGTTAAAATATCGATCGATTTTATTTATTTTATGTCTCAAAGAAAGAGGATCAATCATTAAAATAGATGACCAAATAGATTTTTTTATTTGCCGTTTTCGCTAATTAAAAAAGATCATTTAAATACATGCCCTATTCAATAAGCTTCGTCAACGGCTTCTAACGTGTGCTAAAACTAAATGTTTAAATATCTCTTGGTAATTAATACGTAAGCTACCACAGTGTCTAGTTTTATAAGAACAAAGTACTTCAAAAAGTTAATTAATAAAGATTGTTAAAATTAAATAATAGTACCTATGTACAGTCGAGTTCATAAATATATTGGCAGTGCCAATATTTCAAAATATTGTTACCTTTTTAGCGATCATACATTTCAATACAAACTCAAACATCAATAAAATGTAATCATATAACTGTTCATTTTAACATGTTGCGGTAGCGCAGTTTTGACTTTGCCAATACATATTATATTTATGAACTCGACTGTACCTACTTCTTACAGTAACTTTTCCATGACTCCTAAAATGCTCATGTTCATGACGTAAAATTATAATGACCATTAAATAATAATGGATACAATTCTTTAAATAAACCGCCTCTTATTTCACATTCATAAAAAGACTAACGGAATAAAATATTAATCCGACGAGACTGATGAGCTTTGTAACAAAAACGTTATAATACAGGGTGTTAGGTAAATGGGTTTATAAGCGGACACTAGCTCATATTAACATGCATATAGATGGTATGTGGAAATTAGAAATTTGATATCATCATTTTAATTTTCTAAAATAAATTTTATCTTTTTTATCCATATTTTGAGGATACCAATTTTCTGACTTCCCCATACCATTTATACCTATGCATATTTTAACGTGGGCTAGTGTCGGCTTATAAACCCATTTACCTAACACCCTGTGTATAGTAGCCCCTTTAATATTCAGGTCCATTATCGTAAAAGATACGAAAAGGTTCGACTTTCATGTCGGTAATGTTATTTTATTAATATTCAGAGATTTTTATGGACAATTTATTCTAAGAATTATCCTTGTAACTTAGAACGATTTTGTTAACTTTATTTACCCGAGGGTATATTAGGTTATCTATACTAATAATA